GAAAATAAAAATATTTTTAAAACTAATTCATATTAGAGAAACACAGAGTCGCGCTAAATATTTTGAGGTTAGTCCAACTGATGGCATGTGATCGATCACGTTAATCATGACTGAAATTGTCGCAACTCAGTCCTTGTCACAGTGAGACAACAACAAAAAACTGAACTGGCTTAGAAATCAATTGAATGCACCGTGTAAATATCAAATGAGAGTAGACAAAGACAATGTATGCATAATCCATAGTTCTTCCCCATAAAGTCTGACTCAAAAGACAAGATGCCAGCATATTGTTATGTGTAAAAAATGCATAATGACAGTAATAATTATCAGTCATATGAAGGAGCTGTACTTACAAAAATCTAATATACAATATGTGTGACTTGTATTTTCCCAGTGAGGGATCATATGTTTAATAAAGTGAATTACATTATTTTCCGTTTCTTAAAATTAGTGCATATGTAACTGATATTTTATCAACTGCACTGGTCAGAACAGACAGATTTTTCCTATATTGCAGTAAACTACATTTCTCATTCTATCATCATACTTTCCCTTGTAACTATCACTGGTTAGTTTCTGTGAGAGCATCACAAAACACTCAAGGAAAAGGCAAAAGATATCCTGACAGCATTCACTCAACTTGAGTCTCAAGCATGTCATGCAATGTTTTCCTTTTTAAGACATATTCTTACAGAACATTTTGGTTGAACTCTAAAACGGCATTCATTCCGGACTTTGACTGAGGAGGTTGCGCAGGAAATCCCTCAAATATTCCAGTTTCAGATTATTTAACTTGGTTGGCAAGTGATAAGAGGGTGTTTTTGGAAAGTGAGCAGCCCCATTTTCATTTCAGCATGGGGAAAAATTATTTGGAACTTCCATTGTAAAGGGACATAGAAATATCCAACCTACAGGACATCATCACATGTTCAGATAATTTATCTTTCACTCTTAACATTGTAATGTAAGCACTATAACAAATAAAGAGATCTTGAGCATTTCTTACGTGATTACTGAGCCGTTGCTGTTATATTATGCTTCTTACATAGCTGACATAGCACCATCCCTCCAAAACACAAACCTGAGCAGGATTCTTACCATTCAGCTGACCTCTAGACAGCATTTTACTTCCACCCGAACTATGAAATATGAGTAAAGATGTAACTTCAATTAAAATAAAAAGAGAAATTATTGAAAGATCAGGATAGTGGCCCAAGAAGTAAATTGAACATTACATATCTTGTAAGACCAGTGACCTTCAAAAGAAACAAAAAAAAAGGGGGGGGGCTAACAAATGGTTCATTTGAGCCATGTTTCAGCAGGAAAAATCATTGAGATACTGTAATTACTGCTTACATGCATTTCAAAATGTGACTTATATTTCCTTATATTAGTGCATTGTGGACAAGATCAAAACAAAGCTGTTTGGCCTTTAAAAAGTTATGTTAGAGTCTTTTAGGCATGTTTGGAAGAAATGTCGAATATTTCTTCGATGGTTGGCAAGCGTTCGTCAACGTTCGGTTTAATACCCACAGCGTTGTGGTTTTGCTAACTTTAAGCCGGTTGCTCGTCGGTACCAGTAATTGCATGGAAGGGCAAACTAGTTCAATGGGGCACATAGGATAAATGTCACGTTTGCATTAGTCGTATTTAAAAGACAACGAGACCGTAGTGTCCTCCCTAACACGGGTTACTGGAGTGCAGAAAAAAATCTCAAGTGGGTACACTTTTGAGAGCCGATAAACAGGCCTTGCTACCATGCTAAGCTAACATTCGCTTGCTTTTGCTTCGTCTTTCAAGCTGCTGAAAACTAGCCTTTTATTTCAAATGCAATTTTGGCATTTGACAGGCCAACGCCGTCTTACGCCACACAATACTATGAAAATATGAAATACAGTTAAGCATCGCATTAAGCGCCGAAAGGGCGAATTTGCTCTACTGATCTACTGACCTACTTTTGGTGATAGCGCAAAGTTACGGTCACCCGTTTCGAAATAAAGGAGCGCAACGACAACGGCTTATCAGGCTCGTCAGATACATGCCAACACGACAAGTTGAGCCGGAATGTAGGAGTGAGCGAACTGTGCGGGGTAAATGTATTAATAAGTTAATTACCTCTCATTTCTCCGTCCGTTGTGTCACCGCCGCCAGCGGCAGAATGCCTGGCCGCCATGGCTGGAGCCGGTGCGTTGGGGCCCAAGACTCCAATGCATAGATGCTCGAATTACGTCGGAGATTATGTCTTTTGTCTTCGCGACCAACACGAGGAGTTAAATAGACATCGAAAGATACATTGTTTTTAAGCTGTCGCGTTATTATACAATGAACACTGGAGGATCGTATGTATTGTGGACAGTTTAGTGTTGTAAAAGCGCGGAAGAAGAGATGGCACTTGTCTCCTCCTACCGGATCACGACCATGTCTCCCTCTTGTCACACCAATCTTTTACAGTACAATCAGAACCCCAACACGCACAAAAAATTATTGGTTTCATTGTTAATCTATTCACGCGGTTAATTATCACTGTCAACTGAAAAAGCGTATAAGGTCAAGCTATGTCATATCTATTCAGATGCCGTTGCAGATATTAAAGCTGGACAAGAATAAACTCCCATGCGCCATGAATACAGAATTCACAATGCTAATATACTGTAGTTAATAATGTACTAATACTGTTATGTATTATTAGTCACTGATGGTTCAGTTCCTACTTAGTGGTGTTGAATATGAATGTGATAGTCTACAGGTCAGTCTCCAGCAGGGATGGGCACCCTAAATGTAGCAGGGGGCAACAGTTTTTCATCAGCACCACGGCCTACTTGGGTACCACACAGGACCATGCACTTCCTAACCAGATGTATGGTCCACTATCCTAACCAACAACAAAGGTTGTGAAATAAGCACACGACATATTTTAAAAATCTAGTGCAAAGCGCTCTCTCGCATAAACAAAAAATACCATTCAAGGACGGTACAAAATTGCTGAACAAGAAACCAATAGTAAGAGCAAGAACACGTTTTGTACATTTTATTTAATAAAAATCAACTCTTTCAAAATTGTAATATTATTGAGATGCTATGTTTGTTTTGCATGTCATTCCAAATCTGCAACAAAAAATGTTAGGCCTACTCATGTTGTAGTACAGGTATAGTGCAATAGAAAACCTGGTGTTAGTGCAAATAAGACATGTCTGTCATCTAGTGGGGATTGGTGATATAATAACTTAAAAAAATTTTTTGGATTTTGGCACCCATATATTCGTGAATCCATCCATCCATTTTCCCATCTGCTTTATCCTCACAAGGGTCGCAGGGGGTGCTGGAGCGTATCCCAGCTGTCTTCGGGCAGTAGGCGGGGGACACCCTGAACCGGTTGCCAGCCAATTGCAGGGCACACAGAGACAAACAACCATTCGCGCTCACAATCACACTTAAGGACAATTAGGAGTGCCCAATGAACCTGCCATTCACGTTTTGGAATTTGGGAGGAAAACGGTGAACTTGGAGAAAATCCACGCAGGCACGGAAACTCCACCCTGGAAGGTCGGAGCCAGAATCAAACCCTGCACCTCTGGATTGTGAGGCCGTCGTGCTAACCACCGTGTCGCCTATATTTGAGGATTTAAAAAAAAACATTTTTTTCACATTTTGGATTTATCATATTGCCAATCATATGTTTGTAAAATTTGAATTAACATTTATTTCATTGCATCGAAACATTGTCAAGCTTTATTTTTTCTTTTGAGCAGTGGACCCGTATTGTTCAAGTGCAACTTCTTTATTGTTGTTTGTTAAAACAATTTGTTGTTTGCAAAAACAATTTCACTTGTGTGTTTTTTGTTTAACCTACATATGAGAACATGCCAACTAAATTGTCACCTCGTCTGTTTGATTGGGAAAAATCAACATTTTTATTGTTGAATAATAAGGAGACAAATAATATAATATCCAATTGCAGAACTCAAATTATCATCAGTTCATAACTTAATAACTCTCAAATATGTGTTTATCTTACAAAATTACTGCCGGTCAGAAGAGGCATGCATTGTACTGCAGTGATGTTAGGTCTGCATTAATCCCACAACACTTCTCACTCCAACCACTAGATTGTATACTCGCACTGTTCAAAAATGGAGTGGTTTACAACGAGGGCTTTTATTGGTATATTCCTCTGCCTTTAAGTTCATTTAATGTGAAGTTAATTTACTAAATGGTTTAATTTGTAGATATACAGGAACCTTGCTTTAAATTGCAGTTTAAAATCAATTAAATTAAAATGATTTACTTGCTTAGTGACTTTATTTCACTTAGCCACTATCTGTCCAATGAAACACTAAAATTGTAATTGTAACAAATGTATATTCTTCAAATACATAAATGAGTTCAGGAAATAAAACTACAGGAGTGATGCTGGATACAGGACTGAATTTCACCCTATGCCACAGTGATTCATGACCAGGGTGATGGGGCACCTAGTACTTATTTCTTGAGAAATCACCAGGGTTGTGGCAGGAAGGTATCCAATGTCACTTAATTTGTCAGAAAACATTACTTATTTATTACAAATAAAACTTTTCCTTTCTAGTATGCCGTAGGTGAGCAATTAAATGCTTTTCCATGTGATAGCAGAAGGTACACTAAACTTGTTGGCATTCATAGAATTGAATAAATCATGGTATATCCGTGTTGTGTTCAATTGAACGTGCCCAGATTTCACACTAAGCCAATTTGTCAGTAAATCAAGGCAAGATCATTATTATTATCTCAAGAGAAAAGAGTTAGTGTTTTGTTGCCTTTACTTTAGAATTAAGGCAAAATGATAAAGTAGCAGCTTTAGCCAAATGTTACACGGCAACTCCTCACCAGTGTGGTATCAAGAAAATTTCTAGTTTACTGGCCACAGTTTATACAGTTACACCTCTTATGCCTATGTTGGCTTTGTCAAGTTTTGTGAGTGTTTACATACACGACATTGAAGCTATAGTGTTAAGGAAGTCATATTAAAACCGTACCAAGTGGCTGGCTACCCGCTCTCACCAATAGTTGGGATAGGCTCCAGGTCACCCGTGACCCTTGAGAGGATAAGCGCAACAGAAGATGGATGAATATTAAGAGGTGTGTTTGCCCTGATGGTCATGTCATCAAAACAATTTTTCTCAAAGCGATGTGTTGGCATACCAACGGCACATTTGAGTAAGTGACCTCTTGACGTTTGAACATCCCTAATATCAAAACATTATGGAGGGAAATCAGTGCAATCAATTTAATAAGGACCGTAGCAAATAATACAATTGCTATTTGTGCACATATGCCTTTGTCTCGCCTCAATGCAAGTTGTCAGGCTCATGCTTCTTTCATTGTTCACCTGACTGGCTGAGATCAGATGAACCTGCCGGGATGACGCTTGAGGCAAGATGATGGTGACGCTAAAGAGGATGAGGGCGTAGTAAGCGAGCCACAAGACCTGCCCCTCCTTTCTGGGAGTATATGACATGGAGAGGTATCTCAAAGGTGTGCATTCAGTTTAACGGCATATAAAAATGATCACCATGCCCATCAAGTAAAAACTGGATCGACTGATTTCATACGCGCTCTGCTTTCTATGCAAGTCCTCCTGCCAAATGGAACTTTTCGGAGTTGAAACTGGCATTAAGGGATACACCAACACTGCCAACTCCTCCCTCCGCCTCTCTGACAACCACTAAATCACTGGACAGCGTGGTTGGGTAACGGGCATTTTATCCTTGACACTACTCTAAGGTGGATACAACTTCTTGGGCCAGAAGCTTACCAAGAATGGGCATCATCTAGTGGATTTTTGACGGGCAGAAGTATCAAGACACATTTGAAATCAAGAAGGTAAAGACACCAACATGTCTTTGGGAGCCTTGAGGGAGAAGATGCTAAAGTCTGAGACAGCAGAAGTGAAGTCAACAGTGGTCAACTCTTTGGGGAAACTGCAAAGGTGAGAGCTGTGTGTTTTTCCCGAAGCACTTATCTGCAGTGAGTGACGATTAAAAAAAAATTATTGCTTTTTTCACTCAATGTGATGTGACATCTGCTGTCAGAGGGATAACATAGCCAAAAATAAATTCTTAAATTATGCAGTATGTACAGTAAATACTGCATTGTTGTGCCTGCCGAGTAAAACCTGTAATTTAATCTTGGCTCAATTTTAAAACAGTAATACATACCTCATCTGATAAATAATTCACAGAGGGGTGCGTGCTTGTGTTCATGTGCGTGCGTGCGTGTGTGCGTGTGCGTGTGTGTGTGTGTGTGTGCGCGCGCGCGTGTGTGTGTGTGTGTGTGTGTGTGTGTGTGTGTGTGTGTGTGCGCGCTCGTGTGTGTGTGCGCTCGTGTGTGTGTGCGCTCGTGTGTGTGTGTATGGGTGTGCGTGCATGAGTGTGTGTGTGCAGTAAAGCTTTTGCACATATGTAAGGTATAGGCATAATTTTTGGAGTCAATATTATAAATGACATGGTACGTTCCTACAGTTTTATGCGTTGACACATTTCATGAGCAATCAATGGCAAGTACTCTAATGTCATATGTGTCCTAAATTATATTGGTTCTGTACTGCACTGTGCTTTGTAACATACCGAATATTGCTCTCCCAAAATAATGGGATGATGTCTATACAATGAGAGGAATATGTCTATCATATCAATATTATGACAGTTATTATCATCATTACACAGAAAACATTTGCATCAACAGCTCATACAACCTCCCAGAATTTGTTATAGTTAATCTACGATATATTTTGGGGAATGCTTTATACTAGGGGTCATCAACCTGTTTGAAACTTAAGACCTCCTTCTAGGCTGCTGGTTAATGCGGAGGGCTACCAGTTTGATAGTATGCACTTTTGAAATAAATTTGCTCAAACTACCTTCATATGTTATAATCAATGATTAATGATGTTCATTTCTGAGAAGACACTGATCACATGAGCGATTTTACACAATAATTATGAAACAGATAAATATCAATTGGCCACACTTCATTAGAAATATCTGCCAGTGTTCACATTTTGAAATGATCGCTTATGCAATATTCCTGGAGAGTCACAGTGTCTAATCATCGGTGAGCTATTTTTGGAACAGGCCCGTGGGCTACTCGTATCGTCCTTTAGGGCTCCCTGGTGCCCGCGGCCTCGCTGGTGACCCCTACTTTACACATTTATCAATCAAATCCACACAAATGCACACATTGCAATCAAATAAAAATATCCCTGCCCTGCCTAATTCTTCCGTACTTGGTCACATCACATGTCAAGAATACAATAACCCATACTGTATATATTTTTTTTTGTATGATCCGTTTCCACTTGCAATGTTGTAAAGCTGCACTGCATCGTCCATGAGGTAACAAATAAATCACAAATGTGAAAAACATATGGAAGTAGAATTAAATGTCATTTGATATACACTGCCGCAACATACTTAGTGAGTGCAAATATTAAAATCAATCGCATCATGCTAAATACCCTGCGATTGACAAGCAACCTGGTTTAACCCTCCTCTTGCCCAACACCATCTTGGTATAGCCTCCAGCTCACCTACGACACAAATAAGGACAAGTGGATGGACACAAGTCACTGATGGCGTAGTGGTACATTCGCCTGAGTTGTGTGCGGGCAGCGTGGGACGGTTTCCATTCAGTGACGGTGTGAATGTGTGTGTGATTGGTTGTTCGTCTCTATGTTACCTGAAACTGACTACCGACCAATTCAGGGCATACTCTCCCAAAGTCGGCTGGGATAGGTTCCAGCACCTCCTGCGACCCTGTTCAGGAAAAGCGGTTTTGAAACGGATGGATGTAATGGATGGATGGACATACAGTACATATATAATATGCAAAACATCACCATTAATAAGAAAATTGTTCTGCTGTTTTTTTGATCAGGAAACTCGATGGCAGCAATGTAGAAGAGGAAAGACACTTTGAACTGACAGAGGATGGGCGTCCGGTGGCCTCCACATCTCGTTCCGCTCCACTGCTGGATTGTAGCTGTGGCGGTCTGCCCAAGCGTTACATCATCGCCATCCTCAGTGGTCTGGGCTTCTGCATCTCTTTTGGCATCCGTTGTAACCTCGGTGTTGCAATTGTGGAGATGGTGAACAACAACACCATATATGTGAATGGAACTGAAGTACTCCAGGTAGACATTCTTTGGTCATATATTTAGGGATTTTTTCCAGAGTGATAGTTCATCAAGAGGCTATGGGGTCATGAACGCCTGTCCTTGAGGGCTCCTACCTTGCATGTTTTAGATGTCGTCCCCCCACTCCCCACCCCCCTCCTCCGACACACCTGATTCAAATGATCAGGATCATTATCAGGCTTCTGCAGAGCTTGCCAATGAGTTGATCATTTGAATCAGGTCTGTTGGAGGAGGGAAACATCCCAAACAGGATAGGGACTGTTGAGGACCAGAGTTTGGGACCTGTGTTCGACACAGTCCATCTTCATAACTCTCATTGTCTTTTTAGAAAGCTGAGTTCAACTGGGACCCAGAGACAGTTGGACTTATCCATGGCTCTTTCTTCTGGGGCTACATCGTCACTCAAATTCCCGGTGGTTTCATCTCAAACAAGCTTTCTGCTAACAGGTCAAATCTATTTCTTGACTTCAGTTGGTTGGCTTTCTGTAACTACCGTTTTCATGACACCTGTTGCATTGCATTAAGCAGTACTCTAAGTCACTCCATTGAAGTCACTCACAAGTCTCAACAAACTCGTGAATAATTATTTTGACTCCATATAAAATAAGGGACTACATTCCATTGCGACTAGGAATAAATAAGGCTGCCGCAGGTATTCACATTAGACTATTGCAGAAGAACATTCATATTTGTTCTTCGAAACAACAAGACAAACATTGTCGAGACTGACGGTGGTATTCTTAAATGGTTAAAGCTGCTCAGTGCTCTGAGCAGTGCCGATGGAGTAGATAGTAGCCCTGTAATAAAAGCTTCACAGGAAAAGAGGACACGCCACTGACAGAGTTAATAATGAAAGATCCTGCCTCTGATTTCTTTCTGAAACACCACTGGAATATTACAAGTGTCACTTACACCCTGTTTTGGAAAAAAAGAGGAGAACGGGGGATTCAGTGAGGGAGAAAAAATGGCAGGGAGCTGAGAGTCATGGCGGCTCTCAAGAAGAATTGTGTGTACTCGATGGTATTACCTCACTGCATGACAATCAGGGGTGTTTGATGTGTCTCATTACATAGCTGACAAACAGAAAATAAGCCATGTTATAGAGTTTCACTTTATTGAGATGTTTATAGGCTGGCGTGTTCTGAAAAGCTCTTCAGTTAGTCAACCCAGTGTTTTAACATAAAAAGTGGGAAACTCACGCTATTCTGTTATTTTACTCCATACTATATGCATTTGTAGGTTCATTGATAATAATGATATATCAGACACTGAAAACATACAGAGCAGGAGATCATGGCTGCACATGGCCAAACGAATTCCAGTACACATAACATTCAAAACCTTGAAATCAGCATTTTGTAGAAGAAATTCTGCTTGCATTGGATAGGGCGTTTGGTACCATCTTATGGCATCTGAGAGTGAGCTGGAGGGAACGCCCTGCGCTCCCGCCAAAAATGAAACCAAAACAAACAGAAACATGACAGTCGAAGAAGTACTTGAGTTTACTGTATAAACACAATAAAAACGATGCTAATTTCAGTTCTTCTGTGGCGTTTTACATTTTCTTTCAGCTTTAAGATAGCGGATTTTCATCAGACAAAATTAAATGGTTCGGGTTTAATAGTTTGATGTTTAAAAAAATATTCAATGTTGAATTTAATTTGATGTGTCGGTTTCACACTAAACTTCAAAATGTGTTGACAACCAATACGAAGCGTGCACAATTTCCTTCTTATTCGAAAAACTGTGCAAGGGAAATTAAGCAATGATGAGATGTGTGAAAAGGAGAGCCGAAAAAATGTCCTAAAAAGTCAGATCTTCAGGTGCGTTTTTGTTCACAATAATTCATGTCCTCTGCCACCAAATCATAACATAACAATATAAAGTAAACCTAAAAAATTATTTTCTTTTTGGCCACTCGATCAATATATTTTTGAAAAGAAATGACTACGTTTGAAAAGGGAAACATTGTAGCCACCAACCATGAAAGTACGTGAGGGTTTTTATTTAATTTAAATTTTCCTTATTGTTTTATCTTGGCAAGGCAATTGAGAACAGATTCATCATTTACAATGCCGACTTGGCCAAGAGCCAGCAGACACCAGAGTAAAAAGAGCAAAATAAAATTAAGACGAATACAGAGACAAAGTGTACAGTGTGATGTCGTAAACATCACAGAAAACGGTGAATGTAAGGCTCAACACAGACTCAAAACAGGTGAAGTGATCATGTACAGTTTCCTAACTAACTTTTTAAAATGATTTTACAATGAATGAGTTGAGTTTTATTGTTTGTGACAGGGTCTTTGAGGCATTTGGGACAGAAAATTGTCAAGAAAATGCACCCAAAGTGTTGTATACTTATAGGAATAATTATATTCACCCCGAGGAGATGCACAGATGGACAGCTTTAAAAACAGTACACTACTCTATAATCATTTATAGTCACCATGAGATTTGTTTTTCTTTTTTCTGTTTTTCAATACGGTACACAAACACAAGAAGTATGTTTACAAAATTAACCACAAAAAAGACACACAAAATATGTACACGCTGTATTCACTGTACACAAAACTGTAAGCAAATCAAAGGTCATTGTGCGACCTTAGCCTCTCCTTCTGTCTGCCTCTACAAGATAAAGTGAAACACATTTACTCATTAACTCATCAATGTGGAGGCAAACGACATGACTTTCACGAACAGAACAGTGACTGTTTGCTCCCAACTACTTTTGATGTCACAGAGATTACATTTCGGTGCATATGTGACTAAACCTAATGGCGTTCTACTAGAGGTGTTCCGAGAGGCTTCAAAATGTGTATCGAGTAATGAAGGGGGAGTTTCCTCACAGGGTTGCTTAAAAATGCATGTTTTTTTTTTTCCAGCTTACCGTGTGAAGAGTTATATTGTAGTTTCTCCACTACTTTGGAAAGTGTTATAGAAGCGTTTAGTTTGAGATGATTTGGACATGCATAGTGCTCTGAGCAGCTGGACTCGTAACTCAAATCACTGGTTATTAATCATTTATCCACTGAATCCCACATCTATTTGAATGGATTACTAATTGTATTTTTCTAAAAAAAAAAAAAAAAAAAAAAAAAAAAAACGTACACTTAAGTACTGAGCAAGTCAGTAATCCCAATTCTTTACGAAGTAAATCCAAATGAGAACTAACGCGAGATGTTTCGATTGAGTTTGATTGTTTCTGATGCTGTTCTTGGATGTCGCGATACTTAAGGTTACGTGTCAGGCACAACATACACTAGTCCAAAAAATATAACATCCAATTTTAGTGGCCTGAGGCTGGTTGATGTTTGCTGCGAGCTTGGCCAGCTGCTGCTGCACATCCGCCGATTATTCTCCTGGTTGTGAGTAATGCCAGTGAGTGCAGTGCTCTTCGCTCCATTTCCATCAACATTGGCAACCTGTGCATGGGTGGTGGACTTCTGCTTTGCCCCGAGATGTTGCTTCATTCTAAGGGTTTCTGCTGCCTCATGGTCTTCTTCAGTTATCAAAAAGGAGTAACGGTTCAGCAAATGCGGGCAAGTTCGACTTCCTGTTCTTCAGTTGTAACTCAGCAATGAGGTTGTTGTCCCATCACCCACGACAGAACTGGTTAAGATGCCTGTTGACAATATCCTGAAAGGTATCCATGAATGTAGCAAACAGTTCATCGCCATCTTGTACAGTGCACAATGGGCTTCGTTTAACACTTGTTAGACTGAATGTTGTCAGGTGCTCAACTCACCAATCCACAAAAAGTCCCGTGTAGCCTGTCATACTATCTGCCTATACCCGCTTCAACCAAAACATATTAAAGACCGCGTAATTGAAACCCGATTGGCCAAGTAGCCCATTTGACCACGTGACGTCTCACAAAATACAACTATGGGCCAATATCAACAATATAAAATAGAGGAGTCAAGTGGAAACCAAGTTACAAGGCAACATTTTTTTCTCTCCAATGCCATCATGTGAAAGTGTTGCTGACATTAGGGAAGTTTGACTCTGTCCCGCAAGTAAAGAGTAAAATGATGCTGAAGAAAATTGTCTTGTCTAACCAGGAAACTCAATTATTGGCATGGTTTCAATTTAAAAATACATACCAGTGAGGGTCGAATGCAGGTCACATCCTATTTTAACAACAGATCAGTGTTACGTACGACTACAGAGGCTATTTTATTACTGATTGGTGTTGATGCAACACCGACATTCTGTTTTTAACACTGCCTCCAAACTTTTGACGCTGGCCGCTTTGCACAGCAGTCACGTAGTTTTGTAGTTTTCTTGGTAGCGAATGCAATCTAACTGCACATTCCCCTACGGCAAATGCGTTATGTATCCTTCTGCTCTTGTTATTTCAGTATTTACTTTGAAATTAAATGACATTTTCAAGGCATAAATGATAGGACGTTTCAAGAAAAAATAGCCAATTCAACTTTGATTGTGTAAGTGAGTCAAGTGGTCAGGGACAATTAATAATGGCCCGTTTCTCTCAAAATAATGTCGGCTTTTTTTTCTCTGCAGGGTGTTTGGCGCTGCCATTTTCTTGACGTCAGTGCTGAATATGTTTATCCCATCTGCAGCGAGGGTTCACTATGGCTGTGTCATGTTTGTTCGCATCCTGCAGGGCTTAGTTGAGGTAAGAATGCGAATAGTGAAGTTGTTGAGAAATGTCCAGCGGACATGGGTTAATTATTTGGGGCACATTTCCCATCTAGGGTGTGACCTACCCAGCGTGCCATGGGATGTGGTCAAAATGGGCTCCACCTCTTGAACGCAGTCGATTGGCCACTACATCCTTCTGTGGTGAGTTGAAGTTACGAAGGGAGCCATCCTTTCATCCATTTTCTATGTGTACCTCAAATGTCCCCACGAGGGTCATGGGTGAGCTGGATCCTTTCTCTCGACAGTCTGCTCCAGTTTCCTCTCACATGTTAGAAAACTGTAAGACTAAATTGTCAGTAGGTGCGAATGGTTGTTTGTTTTCCTCAAGACTTAGAGCCATATCCTGTCTGTTTTACATCTCTCGCTCTTCAACACACCTGATTCAAATGATCAGCTCATCGGCAAGCTCTGTAGAGGCCTGACACGATCATGCCCAATTGAACTAGGTGTGTTTGAGCAGGGAGGGATCTAAAACAGGCAGGGTATGGCTCTCGAGGAACCAGAGGTCCCTATCCCTGCTCGAAAGTATATAGCACGGTTAGGGTACTCCGGTTCCTCAACCCTAATGAGGAGAAGCTGTCTCGAAAATGGATGGATGGAAACGCCAAGAATGGGTGGTCAGGTTCCGTCAAGTGACACTGACCATAAAGAGCCTGTGAGAGATAAATTCTGCATGATGCACCAGCAGGTACAATGGCAATCTGCACAACAAATTACCTCAACCTCATCAAAACACTTAGACTAGGTCAACATCAGTGATATTTGATCTCACAAATGTTCTTTTGGATGAAATGGATCAAACATCGCACTCTAGCATAATAATGCAAGAGAAATATTTATGTTACTGTAATTTTCCTTATTCAGTAGCAGTGCTTCTCAGTTATCTTCTGTTAGAAAGAGAAAACATTTTGGACCACTCAACTCTCTATAAATAGTATAATTTGTCAATATACAGTAATCCCTCGTTTATCATGGGGGCTACATTCCAAAAAGAACCAGTGATAGGTGAAATCCGTGAAGTCATGAGCTTTATTTTTTTTACAGTTATTATACATTACTGAACTATGGATACAATGAAACCAAAGACCAAAACCTGTTTTCAGGCCGAAGCACAAAAATAAACAAACGTCTTCAACAAATAACTATGATAGTTTTTGGAAATACTGTACTGTAAGAACGCAATTCACTGTTTTAAAGCATTAAAAAAACTGCACTAAAAAATCCGTAAAACAGCGAAGCTGTGGAAAGTGAACGCGTTAGAGCGAGGGATCACTGTAACTGTAAGCATACCTCTGCTTAACATTGTATCCTTAATAATTTCACATAAAAATAACAAGAAAGAAAAAACCTCTACTTACAACAAAGAATAACATTAACGTGTTTTTTTAGTCTTTCACAGAAAAGATTTGAAGTGCATCAATTCACCTAAAATATGAAAAATAAAAATACATGAGAGCGCCTCTGCCACTTCCTGTAGTGGTTGTGCAATTACACCATGCCACTCTCTTTTTCAAGTCATTATTGGTGTTGGCGTAAATGAGGAGTGTGCTTCCATTCTAGCTTCAAACAGACTAAATTACATTTTCCTTGTCAGCAGAAAAATTCCTGCTCCTTTTTTTTTTTCAAAGGTGCTCGCAATTGTTTGGCTATTCATTTTTTCGCAAAACCAAAAGTAAAAAAAATCAGGAATTGCATGGAACGCATATATTGGTACTTACCAGTGACATTAACCACATGGTTAACTGACAGTGCCATTAACTAACAATGTGACTCACCATCATTTGAACAGTGCACATTTAACGCTTGGTTAGCTAACAGCAGGTTAAGAATTTAACTGATGGTTACACGTTAACCAGTGGTTAAAATAGCATCGAATTGAACTGGAACCAGAATTTTTAAATTGTACAGTTAACTCAAAGTTTCACTTAATTTTTTTCATTCAGAATACTGTAAAAATGCCACTGCCGCCAAAGTGACATCGTGGCTTGAAAATAATATTGAAATTGAACTCGCCTTTTTCCAGGATCCTATGCAGGAGCCGTGATCGCCATGCCTTTGGCTGGTGTGTTGGTTCAGTACATTGGGTGGCCGTCAGTCTTTTACATCTATGGTAAGAAGTTGAATGTCAACATCTGTTTCTGTATGTACAATGTAAACATGCCAGGCAAGAATGAAGGCAAACAAGAGTCTAGAGCTGCCAGGAGCATTGAGACATTGAGTCAACATTAAGATGCGAGAGGAATTGTTATTGAATAAAACATTTCCGAGTGAAAGGGACAACTTGCAAGTCATCATTTAGTTTTTACTCTGGAAACCAATTTCCAGAGATGGGCAGCCTCAGCCCGGTGAGTCCGTGAGTGACCTGCCATCGCTATTCAGTCCGGTCAAGTCTCTCCGAGTTGTCTGCAACATCTAAACGGTGTCGTGAACGGACTTACCGGTACTATGCCACGTCACGTGCCGCACACCTGATCATACAGGCAAATACAAAAATAATACAAAATAAAACAGTGTTGTATACCATCCTGTCCCAGATATGTCAATGACATGTATTCCACATTGGTTTAATTTCACCACTGACCATGATGTGCGTGCTTCTGTTATCATTTTATTTATGTATTTGTTGATATATTTGTTTTATTTGGCTGCCTGTCGCGGCGTCTGTGTATGACGTTGAAATTAAGTTCTCAATGCCGACTGGCTGTCGCCGACGAGGGATGAAGTGGGCCCACGTGGGTCAGCCTGAAATGCCCACCTCTGCTAATTTCATTCAGTATTTTAACCAAACCATCTCGCATATCACCTATTACGGTTTGCATAAAGCAGAAATCGTTGACCAGTATTTTATGAATTTCAGCATCACTGTTCAGTCATCAGTAATCAATCACCAATTTTGAGAAAAAAAAACAATGGAGAGCTTAATTTATTCAATGCACCTATTAAGAATACTTTACTAGAGTCAATTTAAAGATTGTATCACACTAATGACAGTTCTAATTCCAGTCTGCTCATGACTAGGCTATTTAATTGCATGAGCACTTCGAACTACACCAGACTATAGCGCAGCATGGTTGGCGTTAGAAGGTTGTCCACAAACTTAGACCCACAAATTTAAGTTAATTACTCAAAATGTCTTCTGCACAAGATACTGGTGTACTGCATATACAAATTAAAAATATATGTAACATCATAGCCAACAAACATGTAAAGAACACCATGTAGAATTATCAATGGATGTCTTGTCGTCATGAAATAATCAAGATACTTTACTATTAGTCGTTACTTTGAATGCATTGCACAATAAACCTTATCTGAATTGCTTTAGTGATTGATTAAAACGATTAATACCGACATAAAATTCACATCTTGCTAGATGTTTTTTAATCAAAAGCGACTCTGCTTTTTGTGCGATATCATCTCATGATTTATTGATGTGAAATAGCCTTTTCCTGTCTGGGTGCTGTGACTCATCATTTCATCTGAATAATAATGAAGCTTCTCAGGTGGAGAGTCAAGGTTCCAACTTGGTTTAATGATTCTGGCTCGCTCTCATCAATACTTTAAAAGGCCATTTGTGGACGTACTGTAGTATGTTTTAGTCACTCTTTTGTTCTATTGCCAAAAGGTGTTTTTGGAATCCTGTGGTATGTCCTGTGGCTTTTGTTGGCCTATGGAAGTCCTGCTGTGCATCCAACAATCACGGATGAGGAAAGAACATACATTGAGTCCACCATTGGCGAAACTATTCACCACCAGAATGTGACTCAGGCAAGTAAACAGGTATCAGTTACATTGAACATTTCGTACAGTATGTCAACGTTACTTTTTTTTCTCACCTCTTACACGATAAGAAATTCAAGACACCATGGCGCCGTTTCTTCACTTCCATGCCAGTCTACGCCATCATTGTGGCCAACTTTTGCCGCAGCTGGACCTTCTACCTGCTTCTCATTAGCCAGCCGGCATATTTTGAAGAGGTCTTTGGCTTCCCAATCAGCAAGGTTGACCTCATGCTATCATCACACAGAGAGACCATAAATCAAGGCAATGGTATTTTATGTTACATGTTACAGAAAACTGCATGATGCTCTTACAGGTAGGGATCCTGTCTGCCGTGCCGCACATGGTGATGACTATTGTTGTTCCAATTGGAGGACAGCTGGCGGACTTCCTGCGTAGTAACAAAATCATGACCACTACGAATGTGAGGAAACTCATGAACTGCGGAGGTAGGTTGAGGAAACCATTAGCAACATGCACAATGTACACAAAAGGTGAACACACTGAAATACTTACACTCAACCCTGTTTATATATACCGGGATATATTTATATATATCCCGGTATATGTGTGTGTGTGTGTGTGTGTGTGTGTGTGTGTGTGTGTGTGTGTGTGTGTGTGTGTGTGTGTATATATATATATATATAAACTGCAAGATGATGCTTGCGTCACTTGCAGGTAAGACAAAGTTTTAAATATCAATTGTTTGTTTATTTTGTTACAGCCATTTAAATGACCACAATAACCACAGCCATATTTAGGTTAGAATCAGAAATCAGAGCCATATTTAGGTCAGAATCAGAAATCAGAAAAACCTGGTTAACGAGGTTCGCTCAATTGTTCGATTTCTTTCCAAATACATGATGTAAAAACCGGCACATTGATTACACTATGAAAATTAAATGGCTCGATACTCAGCTACTGTTCGTTTCTGTCAGGGGTGGTGCTGTGTGTGTGTGTGTGTGTGTGTGTGTGTGTGTGTGTGTGTGTGTGTGTTCACCAAAATCACTAGCACTGGCCCTGGAGCCATGCCACTCCCTCTCCAGGTTAGTAAATAGACGCTGTCTCCAAAAGGAGACTTCAAAAACGGGTCTTGAATGTACGAGCATTCCACCTGGCATGAGCAATACTGTATACTAAAACAGAACAGGAGCGGCATGCCTCAGGTGGTAGAGTGGCTGTCTCCCAGCCTGCAGGTTGTTGTTTCCTCAACTCTTGATTGACTTCATTTAATAAACAAATACTATCCAAATAAAATTTACTTAGAATTTCTTTGTGGAAAAAAAAAAACAAGTTTCTTCAAGTAAAAGTTTTCAGTGTGCGGCATCAGGTGGTGTTCTGGGATTTAGATAAGAGGAAAAGGAGGAGGAGAAAACGTACGACTTCTGTATGTACACATATTTGAACTAATGCAACTCCGCAACAATTGAACGGTGTGTCGAAATTCCGGCCACAAAGCATTTGGCAACTCTTTGTTTCTGTTGTTTCACAGTACACAGGGTTTATGTACTGTGGCACATGTGGGTCTCTTGTTCAGTCAAACTTTCAAACTTTATTTATATAGCACTTTTCAGACATAAAAATGCACCTCAAAGTGCTGTACAGTTAAAACATTTCAAACTTACAACATAAAAAGAGGACCCAACCCCCTCCCCATTGTTGAGTTTGCACAATAATAATGTTCAGTAATGCAAGTGAACCAAATGTTTTGAGGTTATTTCTGGCATCTGTTCATTATCATGTGTCTTTTTGTAGGCTTTGGCATGGAGGCTACTCTGCTTCTGGTGGTCGGCTTTTCACACACCCGTGCTGTGGCCATCTCTTTCTTGGTGCTAGCTGTAGGCTTCAGTGGATTTGCCATATCAGGTACCGATACTCCCATGGTAGCACAATTTAGTAGTACCCCTACTTAGGAGTTTTTTTTAGATAGTGGCCATCACTTGAGTTGCAAGTGAGCTTCAGGCTTTTCCAAGCACTGGTGCAAGTGAAACAAAATGAACCCATTTAAAGTGGAATCTCTCAGTGGAAACTCTCAGTGGAACTTCGGTTCACTTACTAATTGGTTTACAAGAATTACGCTTCCTGACATCCCTGTCTACGCGGAATGCTCAGTTGTTCGCTTTCACACACAATGTAAAGGTTTTTTGCAACGTTTCGGCATGTGTTTCTTTTTTTTTTTCTTCGTTAAATTATCCCTCAGTATAGCTCCTAAGTGAAACATGCAATTATACAATAAGGAAGCCCTCAACTCCCCGCCTTCTCAGTCCTTGCCTCCAATACTGGAGAGAGTGTGTGCGTGTGTGTGTGTGTGTGTGTGTGTGTGTGTGTGCTTGCACTTGAGCTGGCTGTGAGCTCGTGACAAGGCACTCACTTGGTCATGGCATTTAAAGGTACAACACAAAAATGTACCATTGTGTGTGCGTGTGTGTGCCTTTTGGCTACACTTCATAAAGCCAGTTGGTTTCTTTCCATTATTTTCTTGACAAGTGCAGGTTCATCCTGAATTTTTTGTGAGTCATGTATAGCCCTCTGCAGAAAATTCCAATAATTTACAATAGTTTTCAGATTTATCATTGTCACTACACAATCCCATACTGTGTTGGCAGGCTTTAATGTCAATCATCTGGACATTGCTCCTCGCTATGCTAGCATCCTGATGGGCATTTCCAATGGTGTGGGAACGCTGTCTGGAATGGTGTGTCCCGTGATTGTTGGAGCCCTGACCATTCATAAGGTACAACTTATTTTTTTATAATAGAGGTTGTGATAAAAGTTGAGTCAAAGTTGATTAATAGATGATGTCAAAGATGTCAGGAGTTACGGCTACGGCATACCTATATGTCATCAAAAGGCCAATATGTGCTCCTCGCAAGTAGGACAGAATGCTTGGGAGGGAGACTACTGACAATCGTCCATGAATCTGCACAGTTGTTTTCGTAACAGTGTTGCCTTTGTATTGGACTTTAATTTAATCCCACTTGAAACAAGAAGCATTAAATTGACCGATGTGGTGATAGTAATAATTCAACCATGCAAACATTATTATGCGCAGCAATGACGTGACATCATCTTTAGTGGATGTCTACATCAAATGAAGAAATTAAACATACAAAAAATTAGTTAATTAAAATTGTAAGCCTGCTCCAACCCACGGGCCATATGTTTGCGCCTCTACCTCCCTTGGGTAAATGAAAACGCTAAGGATTTTGAGTTTGTTCGTGTTTATTTAGCATCAAGTTTCAATCGGCTCAAAGAAAGTTGACGTACATTCAACTTCATTAGATAAGTTACAAGAATAAGTCACTTTGGGATAAACAGCATCTGTATTTCTAGGTAGAGTCTGGGTATGGATTTATCACCATCCCTCTGATCTCAGAGGTGCATCATCAAGAAAGCAATGTTTCTTTCAGGATATTGTTTGACACAATTCACTCTTCCCTTCCGACAGACCCGTCTTGAGTGGCAGAACGTCTTTGTTATCGCATCCATGGTGCACTACACAGGGGTCATTTTCTATGCTATCTTTGCCTCGGGAGAACAACAGGACTGGGCCAACCCTGAGAGCACGTGTGAAGAAAAATGTGGCTTTGTCGAAGAGGACGAGCTAGCTGAAGAATCTGAGCTCAACAGCGAGAGCATGACAGCTCCCAAAATGAGTTACGGAACGACCGATAATGCGTCAGGTCAGAGACACGGCTGGACAAAGAAGAGAGGGGTGACCATGCAAGAGGACGATGAACATTACGCTAATGGAGAACCTCAGAATGGATACCAGTGAGCGGTTCGGTGCACATGAAGAAGTTCACACTTTGGTGACAATCCAGTTTTACACCTGTGGAAACTAACCATTATGTACCTCAATCAACTTTCATCGACTTAAATGAAAACACCGGTTTCAGAGTGATGACTTGTCTTTGAAAGCAAATTGTTACAGAAGAAGAAAAGCTTAAAATGTTGTATCTTGATCAGTACTTTAGAACTCATTTGTCTTGTCACATGTCAAGTGTCACCTATGCAACATGCAGTCTGGATTTGATAGCAGACCATAAAGATAAGTGTGTTGCTTTTGCTTGAATGCTATTGAGGAATGAAAACATGAGCTATCCCTGCACAATGTACTAGTAATCCAATACAAGAGCTGTATCAAACACTGACTTCACAAAGGTAATAATGCTCACTTTTTATTAGATCGTGGCAGCACTGTGCTGTTTGGGTCACGGGTTCAATCAAGTCAAATTTATTTACCAAGCCTTTAATCATAAAAGAGTTTCAAAGGGCTTTACACGCACACAGTTGACAAATATTAACGGCATCCCCTGATCTTAACCCCACCGGAGGTAAAACCAAAAACAAACCTATATGGGGAAAAATAGGAAACCTTCAGAAGCGGCAGCAATGGGGTAATTGCCCTTCCAGGATTACCAGGCTGCAGTGGATGCTGAGTGGGCAACATTTAACATAATGTGATGCTATACAATAGTCTAAGAGCCCACTCAATCAGATGAAGCGCTGCAGGAAGGCACCTTCAGAGAATTGGGTCCTTCTCAAAATCCAGACCGATCGGTCAATGTTTATTATTTCTATTGCAGCACCTCTGAGGAAGTGGCCCACCTCAAATCTTGTCCGGATCAATCGGTGCAGAATCCGCACAGTGACATCCAATTAGGTCATCGTCACCTAGCCTCCTCTCAAAGCCAGGGGAGGAGGGGGTAGGAGAAAGAGAAGAATCGACAGCCAAACAAGCCAACATGTAGTTCAACTAAATGCAAAAGCATACAAATAAATATGAAGTGGCCTTTTAAACATTTTGTACTATCTGTAGACTTTTAATACGAGGTATGGGAAGACCAAAGAGCATTATGTTACAATAGGCGAGGTGAGACCTAGCAAATGCATGAATTATGATTTCTTTATCACTAGCAGATAGAATGGGATGGATCTTAGCAATATCGAGGAGGTGATAAAACACAGTTGTAGTAATATTCTTTGAGAAGACAGTTGAATCAAATAGAACAGATTTTCTAGTCACTTCAGATAATACAGTAGTACATTTAGTACAAGACTGGTGTCCTATAATTGGTGTTAATCATGAGCCATCTCAGTTTTTTTCAGGGTTCAGAAGCAAAAAATTTCAAAGCTATAAATTCTCTAATCTCAGCCAAGTACACTTCTAGATTACAGTAATTCTGTGGATTTTCCATTTCCAATGGCATTTATTATTGGGTATCATCGGCATCGCAGAGAAAACTGATGTTATATTTGTGTGTAATATCACCAGGCAGAAGCATGTATATTAGGGGTGTCCTAAATCGATCCTCAAGGGCCGCTGTCCTGCCTGTTTTCCCATCACTCCCAGCTGCAACACACCTGATTCTAATAATCAAGATCGTTCTAATTCTGCGTCAGAGCTGGCTGATGAACAGGCAGGACAGCGACCCTCCAGGCCCGGAGCTGGGCAGTCCTGATGTAGATGCTAAACAATAGAAGGCCAAGTACCGATCCACATGTAACTTGACAAAACTCAGTCGTTTAGTAATTGCCATGGTTTGCACAGTGTGTCCTCTCTGAGAGGTAAGAATTAAACCAAGAAAGTGCTGAGATTGAAATACCGACATATGCTTTGAGCCTTTCGAATATGTTGTGATCGGCGGTGCCAAGTTAGCGCTAAGATTGAGTCATGATGCTGTTATATTGATGAGATGCAGAGTCCATAGCTAGGAGAAAATCATTTGTCATTTAGCAAGGACCGTATCAGTAGAGGGTGGTCGGCCCTAAATCCTAACTGAAGAGATTCAAAAGAGATTGTTAGTGCCGCGTTATCATTAAACTGGTACGCTATGATTTATTTCAACAATTTTCGCAATAAACAGGAGATCTGATACTTGCTTATAATGACAGAGAATCTCTGGGTCGATGTTTTTTGGCTGAAAGTGTAGCTCTGACGCCCCATTTCAAGGTAACTATATGGTGCTGTATGGTAAATTTGATGAATATCTGGGGTTCCTAATTTTGGGTCTCATCTTGTATTTGCCAAAATAATCCCCCTGGTTAATGTTAAAGCACGGTGCCACGTTTGGAATGGATATAACAAGTCATTGACTGGGCCTTGCACTCACCAGTTGCTATTGAGTGACACTCCAGATTGCTGCATATGAATGTAAGGCTGTCTTTTCTTTTTTTTTTTTTTTCCTTATTACGTGACCCTAATATTCCGCCATTGAAAAAAAAAAAGCTAACACAGTTAGGCAGGTCGTGGGTGAAAACGTCAGCGCCATCCGTGTCCTCATCTGACAGTGAGACGCCCCCGGATCCAACCGACCGGTTCGATGGTCATGAACGTGGCATCCATTCTTGGATATTTATTTATTGATTATTTCATTGATTTAAATGGAAAAGATGTAACCTGACCCGCATCACCGACAGGCTTAGCCTTCTCATGCGAGAGCTTGATTATTATGCGCTGCAGCACCAACCTCATCTGATACTGAGCAAGCAAACCGTGAAAGGTCACTTGACAGATTGACAGACCTTCAATCCGTATTGACTCTGAACATTTTTAAAAATGAATCACACTTGTCAGAAAATGACGAAGAAAATGCAGTGTTGAATTGGGGAGATGGCCAGGCCAACACAGCTTTCAATGCCGCTACGTCACGGCTCCACTTCTTGCAGGTAAGTCTGGCTGTGAGCATTAGTTCTCATGGGCTCTTGACAAACAGGTTCCGCAATAAACTTTTTTTAATACAATATATTAGTTTAGCACTGTCAATGTTTTGTCAGGTTTTGCTCTTAATGGCTTGAGTTTCAGTAAGGGACACAATGGAATACAGTGCATCACCTCAACTAAAACCACATTAATAAACATTAACACAAAAAAGCAATTATGAAATCAATATATCTCTCCAAAGACATTCAAAAGTGAGCATTATTCTTTTTTTGTAAATATATTTGTTGATATTTTCTCAAAGTCCTCCGGTTTCCTCCCACATTCCAAAAACATGCATGGCAGGCTGATTGAACACTCCAAATTGTCCTTAGGTGTTAGTGTGGGCGCGGATGGTTGTTCGTCTCTGTGTGCCCTGCGATTGGCTGGCAACCGGTTCAGGCTGTCCCCTGCCTACTGCCTGAAGACAGCTGGGATAGGCTCCAGTGCCCCCCGTGACCCTTGTGAGAATAAAGCGGATCGCAAAATGGATATTTGTTGTCATGTGAGCTTGAATGGGATCTTACTTGACTGCAGATGTACTCAATGATGTGGCAGGTGACTAGGCGTCAGTTCAATTATTTATCCTGTGAGTCTTAGCTATTTTTGATCAAACACATAATAAGTTCATCTCAGAAGCATTTCAATGAAGCCTATTTATTGTTTAGATGTTTGTTAATCTTTCGGGCAAACAAAAACTGATCCATAAAGTATAATCCTGATGTTGGAGAGAACATCGCTTGCGTTTGTGTTTTAATTGAATTGACAAATGTAATGAACTGTTATTTTCTTACATTCAATCGAAGGAGTGTAAAATTAACTGCATCACACTGAAACATTTGGGGTTATTTAACATTGTATGTTACCTTGGAAAAACTTGTGGTTAGTACATCTTCCTCAGAATCAAAGGTTATTGGTTTGAATCCTGGTTCTGATCTTTCTTTCTGGAGTCCTCCTGGAGGTTGCTTGTATTGTATTGCCTTAATTTATTACCACCAGTCTGTATCTCTTGGCATGTGCTGGATCGTCCTCGGGGGCCTCTTCCCAGTGGGACATGCTCAGAGGCGTCCAGGTGGCATCCTGCCTGACAAGATGCATGAGCCAGCTCATTTGGCTCCTCTCAATGCGGAGGAGCAGCGGCATGACTCTGAGCCCCTCCCAGATGAGCGAACTTCTCACCTTCTCTCTAAGGGAGAGCCCGGACACCCTGCAGAGGAAACTCATTTCGGCCACTTGTATCCGGGATCTTATCCTTTCGGTCATAACCCACCGCTTGGTGTGGGTAGGAATGTAGATCAACTGGTAAATGGAGAGTTTCACCTTTCGGCTCAGCTCCTTCTTCACCATGACAGACTGACACAAAGTCCGCATCGCTGCAGACGCTGTCAATCTCCCGCGCCATCCGGCCCTCATTCATGACCTTTTTTTCTTTTGAAATTATATTCCCCTTTTGGAGAAGCACTCCTGCTTTGCCTCCCTACTCCTCTGGACTTGGGTCATCAACCACACAAAATGTGACAGAAGTGTGGTGGCCTAAAAAACACCAAACTTCATGCTTTTTAGTGAGGAACTAAGTTGAAAAAAAATATATACAGCTGACATATGTTAAGAGTCAAATTACTTGCATTAAAAAAAAAATCAATATGAAAACAATTTATTCTGTTTGGTAATTCTCAATGTCGTTCATTTAAAAGGTATTTTTTATTTGTTGTATGTATGTATTTAAGATGTATTTATTTATATTTATAAGATGCATTTGTGATTTATTTGTTTTTATCAGCATGCACTTTCAAATTGGAATTTTACAGAATAGTGTACACAAACAATTCATGAAAGTATAAAGTACAGTACATATTTGATCAGTTCATATGACTTTCTGAAACTACAAAATTCTGTCCCTCTCACTGACTGTTTATATTAGTTGCTGTTTACATTTTTTTTTTTTTTAAGGCGAAGATGTCTCTGTTTCCCGTCACAGTGTGGTAAACATCCTTTGTCTTATCTGTGTTCATACTAGAGTGCTTCAACATAATTACTTGACAGGATATTCCTTACTGGTGTCAGACATATGTTTTTTTTTGGCGGGGGGTGGGGGGGGGTTGTGACTTGCTTTTGAGACAATATCTTGTGTGTATTTGGTCAGCAAATACAAATATCATTATTGATTATTCCGCTTGTGCTAAAGTTCTTGAGTTCTCATGTGTTTCTATATATTTCTAACCTTGACCTTCACCCTACATAATATCTGGATGGGTAGAAAAAAAATAGCCTCTTAGCCAACATGGGGCATCTGCCTTTTTGCCATTGTTAGATCTACAGTTGCAACCGTCGCTTTACAGAGTCCATCAGTTGTGGCTTGTTCCCAAATACAAACCACAGAGTCCAGCAGCCAATGGCAAAGGTTCTGTTTATTCCAGTGAGACTGTTCTGTTGACTCAGAACAACCCCGTTGAATGGAGCAACAGCCCATCAATGATTAAACTATTGTTTATGAGTATTATAAGGGAGGAAAAAAAAGAAATGTATCATCCTATGGTGGTGTGCACAAGCAGCAAGGAAAACGATAGAGTTGGATCCAGTTCAGAGTTATTTGGACTTTATAATAACCTTCCACAATTGATTTGCAACAGCAAGCGTCGAAGCTTTGCTTGAATTCAAGAGGCATTAAGCCTTTGTTAATTACAGCTGTTCTGTTCATTTTATGACTACCGGTACCTCCATTTTTCAATTACGACATTTAGACACATGAGCTACCTGTGATGACTCGAAGTCATGTAAAATAAATAAAGAAATAACTATTAAAAGTTTCACTGCTTGCTTTACTCAGAATCTCAGCAGCATACTACTCAGTGGATGTACTGTATGGTCTGTGTGTGTGTGTGTGTGTGTGTGTGTGTGTGTGTGTGTGTGTGTGTGTGTGTGTGTGTGTGTGTGTGTGCGTGTGTGTGTGTGGGAGAGACATCATGCGGTATCCTCTGAGTCTTTTTGAGATAAAGAGAGTTTTTTTGGCAAGTGTGTTTCAACGGGTTTGGGGGTGGAGGGATGAGGAGAGGGATGGACAGTTTAATTAATAACCACCTTCCTCTTCTCTCTGACCTTAGCTGGTCACACATGTTTAAACTGAAGCCCAGACTCGAGATTGGTGTATTAGAAAATATTTATGGATGCTGTATAGCTAAGAGCGTGGACATCTGGGAACACAGGCAACAAGCAGATCCAAATCGTGGGAATCATCCCGCTAGGAGAAGGTAAGGGCCATAAAAGCATGTTTCATCACGATGAGCCCACGTGTGCCAAAAGTGTGTGCTTGATGGCGAATGAGATGTCAAGTCGCTGTGTGGGTGGGCATGATGATCTCTATATCAGCGTAGGTTGCTTTAAGATCACTTGGGAAATTACTTTAGTTCATTCAATTACTTACTGATGTCACATAAAGTTTATACACAGATTATTTTACTTTGTTGTACTCAGTGGTCTCATTTCCTATGACACTAGAATCAGGTACAATAGCTTCATCAAATATAAGTAATGAATACATTTGTACGTGGTATGAAGTAGAAGGAATGCATTTTTAAATGAACTGTGCTTTTATGATGGTGTATATTATGCTATTGCATAATTTGTTAAAATGAGAATAGCAAAACTATGGTAGGCTACACGAATAGCAGATATAATGACGTCATGAGACTCTGTGATGCAAAGCAGTTCGACAGCAAAGCAAAGCACAATCCCCAAAACGAACATTTTGTTGCATAAAAAAAGAATACAGTTGCTTTTGTTAGTGCATGTGAATAATGTCTGCGCCAACATGTCAAAGAAACAAATCAACCCAAAAAAACATGAATCTAATGAAGTCATTCTACCATTTTATAGATACGATGGCTCATAAGTAGTAAGAGATATGATCTTGTCGTTGCATCATTGATTTTCCGTTGCATGATTTTGGCTTGGATCTCTCTGTAGAACAATGCAATATTTCAGAACCATTAAGTATGCTGAGAAAGTCATTGGTTATCCCTATCAAATGGGCTTGTGTTTAATTGATTGAGTTTGAGCATGTCAACCCTGCGCATGTGTTAAATTAATATTGTAAGGATGGCAAGAAAACTTCAAGTTGTAATTTCCTAAGAAGAGAGGAATCCGCTGGAGACTGTTGTTGTGATAAATACTTTATACGTCACAGCATGTCATCAAAATTGGATTATATGCAAACAAGCCCCTAAGGTGCTGTCTGGGGAATTCCGATTGGATTCTCAATAGATCCTAACAATAATGCCTTTCATCTGATTTTGTTTTCATCTGCAATATCAATGGTGTTAAAGACCGGCAAGGGGAGAATTTACTGGCTAACCACCCAGGAAAGCCGTTCAAACCCTTAACCTCAGAACCGTGAGGCAGACCCACTAACTACAAGATCAGCATGCTGCAAATAACAAATCCGTGTATTTAATTGTTACCTCTGACACTGTTCATTAGAACTGACGATTACATTTGCAAAGGCAGAATTGATGGTACATTTCTTATATGACAGAACAAAAAATGCCATCGTAGCACATTAGATTCTGCAGGTACACCTAACAAAGTGTACAGTTAGTGTCTTAATACTCAAGAAAGAGTACAGTGGGTTTGCTAAGAAACCTCCAACAGTTTCCAACCAGTAGAATAACATGCATCTTTCTTTCATGATCTTCATCTGTTGCCTCCCGACAGGCAGCTCATCTCTGTGTGGGAGAGAACGCTTGACAGGTGTGTTGATGTCTACACTTACAAGCTCATACTGAATTACTTTTCACTGAATGTGTCATTGACTGCCACAGGCAGGCCCAGAAGAGTATTGAAGACATCTTCATCAGGTTACAGCGGGAAACAGACACAAACTTCCGTGCGGCTCACTTTGACTTAACAAGCTTACTTCATGAATGAGTGGGTGGGCCACGACATCGGCGTGGTGGGACCACTACAAATCCCACCCACAGATGAATTCGCCATCACGGAGAACTCCCATTTGTTTGGTAAGTCAGCTTGGCATGAAACATATTCCCTAATCTATAGGCAACTGAGTATAACCATGCTCATGGCAGTACAATTTGGATTTCCGTTTGGCCAGCCGTCTATTTCTGTCACCTTTGTTCTTCACCCACCTATCCAGCCATTCATTTTATGTCATCCGGTTCAAGGTCATAGGGAAGTACACCATGGACTGATATCTGAATGGGCCATCAAATATAGGTCAATATACTTGTTTATCAAATTGGTTTCCTCATTGGAATGAATTGCAAGGTCACATATCCTGCCCAGCTCTCAAAACAACAAAATGTTTTCATAACATATTTTTAGTAAAGTTTAATAGCACCGTGGACCCAATTTTCATCGACAGACACCCGTGTGTTCAGCATAAAACGGAGTCAACTTCATTTTCGTGTTGGTGCAAGTCTAGTCTAGCATGTTTGGGACGGGCCTTCACTGGGCGTTCTGGCGCACAATGCACCTGGCAATTTTCATCACAGAAAAGTAAGTAGACTATGTGTGATGTAAAAATGGGCACAGCTTCTTTTCCGTACCGGGTCAAGTCTAGTTTAGTGGTTTTTGAATTTCGCAAACTGTCCTGCGTGTTGCTAGGTGTGCTGGTGGACCGACAGCATTTTCTATTACCCTTTCCCTGGTGCATATGCCAATTTGGTGAGAAAAAGTAAACAAATTGTAGATTACCGAAAAGCCGTTCTACCTTGTGGCGCAGGTGATTTAACGTGTTTTTGGTGTATTTGATCGATGCCCAGACAGACAGATTCGGTGGTCCGTGGACATGCATCGTGGATGTCATTTCCAGGTTCAAGTTTCACATGAATGGGAATATATAATTTTATATGTTCTCTGAAGCAAATATATTTGCCAGTAATCCTCCGCAAGCTGCCCCAAAAATAAAGCAATATATTGTAAATAAATATTTAAATTTTGTAACCTTGAACCTTTGCAACATTATAGCGTACCTTTTACAAAGGCCCGAACACATTCTGTGTTTCATCCGGAGAGCATATTTTAGCAAGCGCAAGCAGCATCTCACTATCGTCGCTTGTCCCAAATGTATTGCTCATATCCACAAACGTGCCACACAGTAGTCATTTCCACTGCCCTAATGTGCAGATGACTTCACATACTGTCATGCTACCTGAAAAGAAGAAAGGGATTGCCTGGTTAATGAGTAGCTCCAGCAACCTTTGCGCCTCTTGGGATGTCTCGGGCATACACCAAGTCGATTGAAGCCTCTTGGTTCTGTTCTCAGAAATAAATGTGGCTTGAAACAGAATATACATGGAAGATGGTTTGACAGTTAGCAGGACAGAAAGAAGAAGTAAACTGCAAAAGAACCAACGGGTGTGTCGCTGTCACAGTATGTATACTCTGAATGGTCCGTGTGTTCGGTATCTCAGACATGGCCATCGTCAGAACCAAATCTTCAAGAGGTCAGTGCTGTATTATATGCTATTTGGCACACGTCAATACCTGATATTTTGCCTGATATGTATTAATGTTTTTTTCCGGTCTTTCCTAAAATGTCAAATTTCACAACTTTGGAGAATCCCATATGACTATGTTGCGATATTATTAACATTATTGTATCAGTTTCCACAGAGCCGCTACTTTGGAGAGGCGTTACATGTCACTCCAAAGACACAGTGTGCTTTGTGAAGGACAGTTGTTAATGATTTATGGCCTTACAGTATGTGGCGTGGATCTTACAGACGATTGCTAAACTGGTTCTCCAGGAACGAGCTTGAAAGAACTAGATTAGATTCCACTACAGTGCAATCACAACTTTAAATTAATTGTTTTATAAGTGTGTAAACACAACAGTGTACACGATACGGTGTAAATGGTTGAAGTGCTTGCGGCGGGAACATGGTAATGATGCCTCACATGTCAATAATGTGGAATTGTCAGAAGAGGAAGAGGCATTAATATGTTTGTCAATCAATCGGGTTCACTGGTTTACATTAAATGTAACGCAATCTGAGCTTTGCACAGCTCAGCTGTATACAAGTATCAATTCTGCTTTCGGCATTTATTCGAAGACTCATATCCAACCAAACGGCTTCACTAAATGAAATGTGTAAATTTACCTTTTCTTTGTGAAGTAAATTCATGACTGACTACATCAAAAGTGGAGAACTAAATATTAATGAAGTGCAGCCCTGAAAATGAACTAATGTGTCACACAATAAATAAACAAGCTTCTTTTAAACGTAATCCAGACATCAAACGACGTGACATGAGAGTATAATTGCGACCGAAGGAAGGCGTCATTAAATCGTATGCACAACAGACCAGACGCGGCGAATGTGTCAATAGCAAACATCATGTTGCCACATTCATGACAACAATTACAGTTCAGAGCTGCACGTGAACCTTCACCTAAAATTGCATGAGGTGCAAGAAAAGACCCAAAATGTCACATTGAACTCAACTGACTGGGTTGTTCCATTCAGCTCTTCATTTAGTTCAAAATTTTTATGCAAAGGCTGTTTTTGTCCATTTTTCAAAATTATTTAAAATATAGTACAGGTTTTCCAAATTATCAGGCACGACAGTCCAAAAGAAAAATGCATGCAACTCTGGAGGACACACAATAAATGACACTTTGTGTCATTGTATGAAATGAAATAAATGATAATTCAATTAAAATATCATCTTTACCCATAAAGTGACATTAACAACGGCATTGGTGTAGGCCCGACGCTCCAAGGTCATCCCTTTTCAGGGCTAATTGATTCGGCAGGTGTTTTGTTTCATACTCCTTGTCGATTTCCGACTTCCATGGCCACCGTCCTTCTGGCTGTCTCGATCGACAACTTTTCTGGGGTCTGCTGAGCATGGGCATCAGAGCCTGATTTACAATGTCTATTCTGGCTAATTCGCAATGCCTCAGATGAGGTTTGGGCTCTCAAATTCTTCACGACTGTTGGAAGCATAAAATGATCCACAATGTCAATTATTATTTACTAAAAAGATGTTACTCAGTAGACGTAAACATAGACGCATTGATGTCATGACCCTGGGTTATTTTCTCATGCTGTTCTTGTTCTTATAGATATTCTGGCAGATCAGAGCAATCCTCTGCTACAAGATCCTGACATGTTACCATTCGGCAGCTACCCGGGCATGCAATACTCAAGCATGGAGCCAACTGTGCCCACACCGTATTACTGCAGTCAGAACTACTATCCCCAGTACAATGGAGAGGAATGGTACTCCCACACTAGCCTGTATGAATTGAGAAAAACAACACTGGACGGCAGCTATGACGGTGACAGGGAGGAGGTATCTGCTGTCATGCCGGCTGTTTGCAAGAGGTCTCGTCATACGTCACAGACTGGACGCATCAAAGGGGAGGAGCTTTGCGTTGTGTGTGGAGACAAGGCATCAGGCTACCACTATAATGCTCTCACCTGTGAGGGCTGCAAAGGTGAGAGCACAGAATTTGTATAACATTATTTGGCAAAATAAAATGCACAACATACATTATCAAACCTATTTAGTCTTTTTCTGAGTGAGGCAAATATTAAATGCAAATATTAGATGTGATTTATGGTGAAGATTCTCAGTCATCTAAATCATGATAATCCACAAACGTTGAATTGAGGCTCTTCTTGTTTCTTGAAAACAAATAGTTTTTAATTCATAAGGCTTTATCAGTTCCAAATTTGTTGGTGTAACTAATTTGTAGGTGTGGAGTCTCCCTACTGACCTCTCTGGTGGGTGAATAGTGTCGTTGTTGTTGTGGTTGTTGGGGCCAGGCATGACAAGGTGAATGACCATCCTGCAACTCAATTAGACATCCACCTGCTTGGTGGCATAAGAACTCATTATTGAACAACTTCAGATGTTTTTGGTAGGTGACGCTCAGGGTTAGGAACCCCCCAATCGGGATGGATGGAGATGAGTGTGCAGGTAATTCCACACTGTGAAATTAAACAATGTTCGGAGTGCGATCTCATCATTTGCCTAAGAATAGGTTCAGGTCTACCTACTCCGCTCTCTGTGGTGCTAGGTTCCCTCTCCACTTTCTGCAGCACAATACAGGAGAAACATGAGCTCTGTTGCATTAATGCCCGCCATTGTGCTGAATCATCTATGTCACAATGTCCTATAACTGTTTCAAATTCAACCTTTGTGTGTGCGTGGGTACGTACACTACATGCGTGCATACACGTGTGTGTGTGTGTGTGTGTGTGTGTGTGTGTGTGTGTGTGTGTGTGTGTGTGTGTGTGCGCGCGCGCGCGCGTGTTGAGTAAGAACTTTTGTAAACATGGATTTTGAGTATTTAACTTGTACTCATGATATGGTGTACTAAGAGGTATTAGCTTGACAACACTGTACATTTATCATGGTGCTTGTAGTTTGCAGTGGTCTACAGTTGTACTGCACCACAGTGGGAGGCTTTTGGAATAGCTAAGACATTCGACATATTCAGAACTCTTGAGTATGATGTAGAGTTGGTAACAATACAGGAATTGGGCTTGCTATGCTATTAATTTTGGAAGGGAGTGGATGGGAGTTCTGTAAATAAAGTGACATTACAGCATGACAGTAAGTACCTTGCCAGTGAATTCATCCTCATCCTCAGTAGTGCAGTACTACGTATGGACATCATCTGTGAGCAAGAAAAGTAAATCTCTTGAACACCAAGTGAATTCAGAGATTTGGTTCAGCTCTTGTCTTCAAAAAGGTTGTTGACCCTTAGTCTAGACCAGTGGTTCTTAACCTGGGTTCGATCGAACCCAAGGGGTTCGGTGAATCAGTCTCAGAGGTTCGACGAAGCCTCTGACATGAAGGTTAAGACATACCCCGACTCAACATGTCAATTAGTTATAACACGCCCGCTTGGCCATCACTGGCTGCAAATGATCACATTACATTGCTTGTCCAATCAGTGCTGTGGGAAATTTAGTTTGCTTTGTAGTCAACGTGTGACTGTCGTGATAGTATGTCATACAATTTTTAAAAAACGTATACTTGTGTCTTTCAATTTTATTTACTTTTCTTCAGTTTTTAATAAATGTGTTTTTTATGTCTTGAATTTGTAAACAGTCCTATTTTTGTCTTTCACTAATGAAGTGTTCAGTGAATGTGCGTATGAACTGGTTGGGTTCCACACCTCTAACAGGGTTAAGAACCACTGGTCTCGACGAAATAGCATCCATTTTTAGTAATAATGTAGTACAAATGTAGCTTTTGATTGACAGTTGGCAATTTAGCACAGAGCTGTTTCAACACATTCAATGAACACACCCACAGTGTTTGAGAGCAGACACAAGGATGTGATTTTTCATGATTTTTGAAGCGTCGTGTTAATCCTTTTTTAAGCCATTAAAATTTGTTAGGTTTGCTAACGCAGCCATGTCTGTGGTGTGTTAAATTTACAAGACATGTTGGCAGTCGTTTCACTTCACAGGGACAACTTAGCTTGATCTTGAAATGTTTCTGAACAATATAGTGCATGCCTTCATTACTTAACTTTTTCTTCTGTCCACCACATTAAGGTTTCTTCAGACGAAGCATAACAAAGAATGCCGTGTACAAGTGCAAAAGTGGAGGAAGCTGTGAGATGGACTTGTACATGCGCAGGAAATGCCAGGAATGTCGACTCAGAAAATGCAAGGAGATGGGGATGTTGGCAGAGTGTGAGTGTTCACTGTTTGTCATCTCGTTTTTACCAAGAAATGGTGACAGAATTAGTTGGGCAAGGACACAATTTTAGACTATTGGTTCTCAAACTGGAATCCCTGGACATCTATGGGTCCAGAAGAATAAAGTCGGACTTCTGAAAATCACTAAAACAGAAGTTTCTTCCCTTGTTAAATTAGTATAACAACTTTATATTCTTGTATTTCAGGTATCGCCGTGCTACTTTAGAACTGTCATTACAATCGACGGTTACTCTCATTGCAATGACACCTTCTAATCTCACACGGCCTGATTAGTTTAACAGGAGCACTGAATATCACACACCACACGGCAGATGTGCGGCACAACAGTACTTCGTCACGCAGAAAAAGATGGCACTTTCAGTTCCTGCCAGACTTGATGTTTTTCATTTGATTGCTATAAATTTATCGTGTGTTATTGGTGGAAGCATTTACTACAAACATGACTTTACTACAGCGTTAGCATAGGTTGCAGTAATGATCTGACCTTTGTACAAATAAGTAAGAAGCAAAGCAAATATGTGGGTATGAAAACGTGAACAGTTGTTTCCTCGTGGGACTATGGAGCGCTATCAGTTGAAGACAGAAAGAAAACGTGAGAGCCTCTCGTTATTGATTAGGAGAGAAATGAAATTGTAATGACTATTGCAGTGTGGCAGGCCCAAAAAATTAGGAAAAAAAACAAAGTAAAATAAACAAAGGAGACTTTTTATTGTCATAAGTTCACAAATATCAGGTGCGTGACAACAATCCTCACGGGTGTGCTGGAGCATATCCCAACTGTCTTCAGGCAAGAGACAGGAGAGGTACACCTCGAACTGGTTGTCAGCCAATTGTAGAGCCATTTAAAACCCCTGTGCAATGCAGGTACACTTTATGTACACCTGACATGCAGTTGTGTTGCAAAAACAAATGCATGCCATGCATGGGTTTTAAACCTGTGGCATGCATTGATTTTTACAACACAACGCATGTCAGGTGTACATGAAGTGTACCTGCATTGCACGGGGGCTTTAAATTCAAATGCTCAACTGTAGCATGTGAAAACGTTGGACGAGACTGTACAAGGATATACACACGCAGCTTCGTTAATCCTGAACGAATGAAGCCATATGATTTCCAGACAACACAATGAAATAAGTCTACCGAGTGAAATTACACCTTTGATGTGTAAGATGCAGCTCCAGATGGGACTTTTGACGGCAAAAAATACACTTTGGAGAACGAATGGGACCAGTAAGCGGACCAGACAAGGTTCTCATTTACCATCTATGCAAGCATGGACAGTCCTGGAATTAATACAGGATGTCCTTCTACCTTACCTGCATGAAGATCAGAGTGCTGCTTTGGTCAGGTCTTTCAGCGGCTTAATTTACCAGTGTGGCTCCGCTCACATTAAGGACATAAAAACCCACAAGCTGCTGCCTGCGAATGGTTAAGACTCAGAGGAAGCACAGATCCTCCCTCACATACCTCTGGCTCTTTAAAATTACTCAGCCCGGCGATGGTTTTTAATGGCATGGTCTACGTGTCTCCTTCCACCTGTAAATTTTTGGCCCAGAAATGTTCACTGCACGCATGTCTGCCTGTTCTTGTTCTGTTCAACATTTGCGTAGTTATACTCTTTGTTAAAATTGTGGAAAAACATGCCAGTGTGCACCTTGTTTGCTGTTTCTGGTTGACCCCTTGCAATTTTTTGCTATGCATTATCCATCCATCCATTTTCGAATCCACTTATCCTCACAAGCGTCGCGGGGCATGCTGTCTTCAGGCAGTAGGCGGGGGACACCCTGAACCGGTTGCCAGCCAATCGCAGGGCACACATAAACATACAACCATTTGTGCTCACACTCACACCTAGGGACAATTTCGACTCTAAATTCCTGGAGGGCCGCTGTCCTGCATGTTTTCCAAGTCTCCCTGTTGCAACACACCTGATTCAAATGAACAGATTCAATGTCAGGCTTCCGCAGAGCTTGCTGATGATCTGATCATTTGAATCAGGTGTGAGAAAACCCACGCAGGCACAGGGAGAATATACAAACTCCACACAGGAAGGCCGGAACTGGAATCGAACACTGCACCTCTGAAATTTGACGCAGACGCGCTTGCGTTGCATTATGGGTTTTTTTTTGGGGGGGGGGGGCGTTTGGGTGTTCTCCTCATTGTCCAATTTATGTCAATTGTCCAGCAGTGACCTTGCCCACGTTACGCCTCGTGGACCAGGCATGCCGCCAGGATTTACTTCTTTCCTGGGGGCTAATGGCGGGGGGACTGAAATGCCCAAATTGTACACCCTCATCACCTCCCTGTTTTCCCCTGTTGTTATTGGGGAATGCTTGTTGCACAATATTTTGATGCCTCTGCATCTTCGAGCTGCAGCTGGTGCTCCTTCAGGAGTCGGACCGGGCTCATTTTTCCAATCGCCCTCCTCTTTTATACCCCCGAGGGTGAGTGGGGGACTTCTGGGAAATGTTTTGTTTTTTTAATTACTAAGTGATCCATCCATTACTGAGATGGACTGACTAACTCTAACCTAAGGCACATTTGAGAATCCCTTCTGATGCCTGTGTAGTACTCTGAGATTGTGTGTCTTCGGAGAGAGAGAGTGTGCTCCGCTCTCATTAATTTCCAAACACAGCCAGCACTGGCGCAAAGTGTCTATAGTCGGAGCGCCAAATGCCTGGCGTTGTTGTTGGTGCACTTTGAACAGCCGAATGACAAAGTTGAGCATAGCTGTAAGTTTCTGAACAGTTGCATTGAACCAGTCCGCGCTCTGAGATTTTTTCTGGACATGCCGCTAATGCGAAAGCAACTGAGAGACTCATCTTGCCCCTCTCTGCCTCAATGACGCACACACAGTGTACAGTTGCAGCGCAAACACGGAAACAGAAATTGTATTTGAACAGAATGGCGAATTGTGAGCTTTTAAAAACAAATAAATAAATAAACTGCTGGGAAGTGAAGGGGGGCTAGCCATATTTCTGACCAGGCTATAGCCCCCATTAGCCCCAGTGCAGCTTGATTCAGTATGTTATTCTTTTGGTTCGAGTCTTTATCAAGGATGTGCAAATCTTTATGAAGTACGTGATGTAGTTTGACACCACCGCTGCAGGTCTCAATGATGCAAATTTATATAAACATAAATGAGCATAAATTAGCGTAACAGCATGCAACAGAATAGTGGTAAAGGGCGTGTGCTTGTTTGCTTGCTGTTCAAACAGGTGCATCTGTCTGCATGTGACAATGCAGAAACATTAGGAGAGAACAATTTGTTCTGCCTTTAGCTGCACTGTATTATTGATAGGAACCACGTATAAAAGGACACAAATAGAAACTGTTAGCTGCACATTCCATTCTCTTTGTAACAAGGAAGTTTTTATACGATCATGTTCCCAAATAAAGGCCTCCCCTAAAATAGATGCCTCCTTAAAAACTAATGTCTGGTACTCTGCAGTTCAGTGAATAAATGCCCGTTGGCCAGTATTTTAGGTAATAAATATATGTGATACAATATTTTATTCCTCTCCTGGAAGTAGAGGCCAGTGAGTGGTTCTCTGGTACTAGAAAATGAATTAAAAACTGTATCTCAGTGACAAGAAGACATAATTTCGAAGAAGTAACTATTACGCCTAACTCCAGCTCCGCTGTGGCACAACAGATACATACTGCATAAAAAAATGCATGAAACAAAAAAGGGAAGATTTGTAATTTACCGGTAGTTTTTTCAAATGACAACATTGTGGCAATCATCCGTGCAATCAGCAGAGAGTAGTTTCACGAGGCAGCCCGTGGCAGGGCAAAAAATGCATTTGCCTTTGTACTTAAGATAAGATAAGATAAGAAAACCTTTATTAGTCTCGCAATGGAGAAATTCCCAATTCACAGCAGCAAAGTTATGAATGGAAGAAGTAGAACAACAAAATATAGGAGCTGCTGGAAAGGCAGCCACTCACGCGGCGCCATCTTGAAGTCAAAATAACACAACACAACACATCGGACACAGACAGTCATGCAATCTTCACCACTTTCCTGCATACACTTTGTTGTCTGAAGCAGTTATAGATGAAGAGGAGAGGATCAAAATGTCCTTTTACCAGTGGATCAGAGACGTCATGCTGAAAATGTGCACGTCTGCTACAAGCTAAGTTTTGAAAGCAAACACGAAGCTGTAGCGTCCATTGACAAAAAGAGATTGGACGCTGGACTTTGCGGAGATAACACAATTTGTATACCCCCCCCCACCCAAAAAAAAAAGATTTAGAATGAATTGATCCATATTGTAAAACCCAACTGATTTTTGGCCTTAAAGATGCAAGCGAAAGCTTTCTTTTCTGTTGGCTGCAGGCCTGCTTACAGAGATCCAATGTAAATCTAAAAGGCTGCGGAAAAACATGAAGGGACAGTCAAATGGAGATGAGACTGAGGGGGCAGACAGCAAACAAGTCACATCAACCACCAAACTGTCAAAGGTACTGATATAAACAATATCACCTTTTCACCAATCTTGATTGAGTATATGTTGATTATACTTAAAGTATTAACACTAATACTGCATTTGTATGTTAATGTCACTTTTTGTAGCTCTGCAAAAAGATCATGGACCATTTTAAATTGCACTACTAATGCCTAGTTTTTCCCGCCCTGTCGGTTTCTAGGAAAAAATTACCAAAGAGCAGCAAGCATTCATGAGGGCCATCGTAGACGCCTACAACAGACATCAAATTCCTCAAGAAGTCACCAAAAAACTGGTATAGTGATTTTGTTGTCTCAAAAATGCTTTTCAAATGAATGTGTTGTCTGAAGTATTTTTTTTACAATGTATCCAAGTATTCACTACTATTATAAAAATCCAATTTTAGTTGACTTTTATTGTCATCTGAAATTATTGTTGTTTTCCCATACTAGCTACAAGAGGAATACAGTGCTGAAGAAAATTTTCTCCTCTTGACAGAAATGGCAACAAGTCAAGTCCAAGTTCTGGTGGAGTTTACAAAAAATATCCCAGGTTTTATTCACCCCGTCTGAATTACATGCAGATATTTGTATTAACAATGCTAAGATCAAAAAAAGACAGATGAATTCTGTTTTTCCACGATATTTCTCACAGGCTTTGTGTCCCTGGATCATGAGGATCAGATTGCTCTCCTTAAAGGTTCAGCAGTAGAAGCCATGTTTCTGCGCTCTGCCCAGGTTTTTAGCCGAAAGATGCCGAGTGGACACACTGAAGTCTTGGAAGAGAGGATACATAAGAGTGGTCAGTCCAAAGAAGTCTTGTTGTCGTCTGAATAATTTAATGAATTGCTTTCAGGAGTTTATATAGAATTATTTAGATGGAACTAAATTGAGAAAACCATCAAGCTATTGATACATCATCTTGTAATTTGTGGCCATTGGAGTCAGATCCTCTGTGTATATAATTCATCAGCTGAGACGCACGCCTTCGTGACCTGTTGATCTCTCAGCAGGTTTTGGTTACACTGAGTTCTGTTTCATTTAATTCTCCGTGCGCACGTGTGTGTGTGTGTGTGTGTGTGTGCAAAGACTGTTTTATGATAGGTTTACAAGGAAGTAAACCAAGTAAAAAGATTCTGTGCTTTATAGATGGCAGCATGTTAAAACTGACTTACAAAATCATTTTAAAAAGATTAAACTTTGCTTGCCTGGCCAGTAGTTGCCAGTGCACATTGTCTTTCCGTCTTCTGAATACCGTTTGTCATTCTTTTTACTTTTTGGGTTTAGAATTTAATGTATGTAACGAGGCGGCCCGGTAGTCGACTGGTTAGCACGTTGACTTCGCAGTGCAGAGGTACCGTCAAGAGACAGGTTAGTTTTACCCTACTACTGAGGAACCGCAGGTTCAGACATTTGGTGTATGTGCTTGGCTGAGGAGCCAATGGTGCGAGGCTACCATCTGCGGGATTATGACTGAACGCCTCTAAATCAGAATCCCGCCTAGACGCAACGATTCTGTAGCGCCACCGCCCCCCGGTTGGTCAAGGTTGGCGGGCGGGGGGGGCGTTCCCTCGACACTGGGCTGGGGTGCGCCCGGATGATGGGTGCCCCCTCTCCGGTTTATGACACCGCATGTTTGTGGAGAGCATGGTGCTAAATGACTTGCATTCCAGCTTCGGCCTCCCTGTGTGGAGTTTGCATGTTCTCCCCGGGCCTGCGTGGGTTTTCTCCGGGTACTCTGGTTTCCTCCCACTTTCCAAAAAACACACATGGCAGGCTGATTGAACACTCTAAATTGTCCCTAGGTGTGAGTGTGGGCGTGGATGGTTGTTCGTCTCTGTGTGCCGCGCGATTGGCTGGCAACCTATTCAGGGTGTCCCCCGCCTACTGCCCAAAGACAGCTGGGATAGGCTCCAGCACCCCCCGCGACCCGAGTGAGGATAAAACGGTTCGGGTAATGAATGAATGAATGAATGTATGTAACTAATGCATATCTCTTGAAATCTGTAGTACTGTACAATACAATAGTCACGCTACACAGTGTAACCACTTATTATATATGAGGCCACTTGGTTTCTACAGTGATCAATGAATAATGCCCAAAGGCAAATGAAAGAAATTACATCCTGCCCGCTTGGCTGTTTGAAAGGCAAACTGCGTGCCATCTGACAGTGTTGCATCATTGGACAAACATTTGAGAGGAACTCTCGGGCTCCTGTGTGGAGTTTGCATAAATTCTCCGTGCTTCTAGGAGTACCTCTCGCTTTTTTAACCAAACATGCATGTTAGGTTAACTGAAGACTCTAAACTGTTCAACTGTTCATAGGTGTGGGCAAATGTGAGTGTGAATAGTTGTATTTATGTGCCATGTGATTGGTTGACAACCAGTTACGCTGTAATCCATCCCTTGCCCAAAGCGAGGTGTCAAGATGGACAGTTGACAGAGAGTGATAGTAGGATTACCGTATTTTCTGCACTATGAAGCGCTTCAGATTAGAAAGCGCAGCTTCAATGAATGGCCTATTTTAAAACTGTTTTCATTTACCGTATAGGGCAGCACACTGCATAATAAGGCGCATACAATAGTGGCTGTTGCGCCATGCATCCACTAGATGATGCTACGGTACAGGAAATACTGTACAATACAATACAGCCCAACTTTATTAATATAGACCACAGTGTCAAACATATGGCCCGCGGGCCGGAACCGGCCCCCGGCGAAGTTCAATCAGGCCCGCGGGATAATTTAAAAGTGAAAAATGCATAAAAGACAACGTTTTGTGCCTTTGTACAATCAGTGGGCTCAGTTGCAATGCATATATGTGAATGATAAAAGTAAATTGCACATTTGTCAAAGGAAATGTAAGGTGTTTCATGACATGTTGTGTAACATTTTCCTAATGTTCTTGTGCTTCACTATCCCAAAAACAAAAGAAAGACATGATATTTTGGTTAGCTATTTTGGCTCCCTCTGCACTGCTAAACTCTGATTGGTAGTCAGCAGACAATCACTCATCAAGGCTAGTGGAGAAAAGTAAGGAAGCAAAGCTGTCTGAAGAGAGCCTTGTTGCTTATCAAAATATCAAGAGTGCTATCGTTGAAATTTGACTCTATTTTGGGACCCGCTGGCATTTCTGAATGCATGATGATGTGTCCAAGCAGACAAACATCCTATTTTAAATGGCCGCTTATGTGATAGACTAAAAAGAGTACAAACATTTCAAATAATGCAATATTTACATTCAATAGGACATATCATTACTTGTAACTTCTTAAGCAACAAATATATTTTGAAATATTGAGACTAACACTTGGACTATTCGTCAGTGCATCAATTTTCTGTTGTGCTTTTCCTCGTTGGGTTTGCAAGTTAGTTGGAATCTATCCAAACTGATTTTGGGTGAGAGGCAGGACAAACCCCGGACTGGTCACTAGTCAATTGCAGGGCACATATCGAAAAAAAGAGCCGTTTCCACGCCCATCAAATGTGGTTCATGCGTTTATTTTGACTTTGTCAATTTGTCATATATGAATGGATGATTGTTTATAAAATTTCCTTGTTGGCCGTGTATAACTGTATTCATTATGTCATTGCCTTTAAGGTATTTCAAAGGAGTTCATCATACCAATGTTTAACTTTTACAAAAGTATTGGTGAACTCCACATGTTGCAGGAGGAGCAAGCCCTCCTCACTGCCATAACCATCTTGACACCAGGTGAGTGGCTTCAACTGATCCACAAGCTCTCAAGTTGAAAATTCAAGCGTCTCACTAAATAATAAAATCTACTCTATAGATCGACCTTACGTAAAGGATCAACAGGCTGTCGAGAACCTGCAGGAACCCATGCTGGATGTGTTGAGGAAGCTGTGCATTTTGCAGCATCCACAGGAGCCTCAGTACTTTGCACGTCTGCTGGGCCGGTTGACCGAGCTGAGAACACTCAACCACTATCATGCAGAAATGCTCACGTCATGGCGGATGAACGATCACAAATTCACACCATTACTCTGTGAGATCTGGGACGTGCAGTGAAAAGCCTCATGGGACGGAACATAAACATCTTCAACTTAAAAGGTGGTCCACAATGGTGCAGATCAACTGATATACACATGCTTCAAATAAACTATTGTACAACTATTTTGCCTGGTAGTACCTGATTACCATCAACAATAACGCAGTAAAATGACACATTATTTATGTCTTCTGACCTTCTATTCCTTTACCCATCCATTTTCTTTTGCTCTTGTGCGAGTTAGGGCAAGATGAAACCTAACTCAGTTTACTTTGGGCAAGAGGTGGGATACACCCTGGACTGGTTGCCAGCCCATTGCGGGGCACTTATAGACAAGCAACCTTTCAGACTCACATTCACATCTCGAGACAATTTTGAGTAGTGGTTCTTAACCTTGTTAGAGGTACTGAGCCCAACCATTTCATCTGCACATTCACCGAACCCTTCTTTAGTGAAAAATAAAAATGTGATTTTTTACAAATGCAAAATATTAAAAAGTGCATTTGTTAAACACAGAAAAAGTAAATCCAAATTCAAGTCATAAGTCCAAGTTTTTTTTTTAAATTGTATGGTTGAGGCTCTTTCGAACCCCTGCGACCGATCCACCGAACCCCAAGGGTTCGATCGAACCCAGGTTGAGAACCACTGATTTAGAGTCTTCATTAAACCTAACATGCATATTTTTGGAATATCAGATTAAATCAGTGTAAGTGTACCCTGAAAAAACACACGCAAGCACGCAGAGAAGATGCAAACTCCACACAAGTATCGAAACAGGATTCGGACCTAGAAGCTCATAACTGTGAAGCAGACGCACGAATCACCAAAAAAACCAATGTGCTGCCCATTGAGTCATAATTTAAAAATTGCTGTTAGCATCTATTTTTTGTTATGAATATTCATATTTCCCTTTCCATTTATTACAATTCAATAATTATAATGTGTTTATATGATGAGCTGTTTTTTTCGTTAGCAGTGAAATAGCAGCTGCACAAAATTTCTAAATGTATCTCATGCATTAACTTAACCCTCGTACAGTAGAATTTACATAGCCAGTTTAAATCTAATTTCTTACAGCTGACATGATTAGTCCAGTTCAGCTCCACACACTGTACCATATTGCACTGTCAAGAAATGACACATTTTCAAATAAGTTTTTGATTTCTACTACGTTTAATTTGGATTAAACACACACAAAACCTGAACATATCACGATCAAGATAACAAAACGGTAACACCTGAGCTCATAAAAGTCCCACATGTTCCCTCACTGACAAGATCACTATACAACATTTACAAGATTTGCGCCTTGGCCTTACATCGCTCACACGCTCCATATGCGGGGCCAGGAAAGAAATTTAATCGATGCTGTATGTTGTACATAGATCATATTTGACAATAAAGCTGACTTGATTTGATTTTTAGGAAGATATCGAATAATTTGATAATTGTGTCACAGCACCACCTCGTGGAGATATCCGCAAATGAATCACCCACTGGAAATACTTTTGGTCAGTTCATAGATATACTGTAGTCCATAAACAAATAACCATTGCAAATGAAAAGAAATGAGTGAAACACTTTTGTTTAACAGCTTGTATATACTTTTTTTTCTAATAAAAATCAACAGCGATGGTGGCATTCACGGTTACAGTCCGTACTTGTGTGTCTGTGTGAACGGGTTGGCGTCAGGATACACCAAGAAGCCTGAGAAGGTGGTGTACCTCCCCTGGTTGCTGTACACGGCGTAGCGATTATCGTGCTGACTGTACAGCCATACAGTGTCGCCCTGGCGAAGGAGCAGCATCAAGCTCTGACTCTGCACCTCTCGTCTTTTGGACGTGTCGTCATCAAACACCATGGCCTGTACCACGCCCTCCCCAGTCATCAGCTTCACTGAAAGAGCCTTACGAGGGTGTTTACCCACCGTGAACGCAAAATAGTAAGCCCCCGGGAAGTGGCAGGTGAACTTGCCCGAGGACTTGTTAAAATGGCCCCCAATGTTGACAAATTCTACGTCGAAGGTCAAAGGTGATTTCTGCTGCTGCTTCTTGCGACTCACACCTATAAATGTGGATGTCCGTGCCACAGAGAAGGCCGATCTGGGGTGCTCGAATGGCTGGTGTCTGAGCCGAGATTCATCCTGCGTGGGACAGTTTGGGTGAGGGGTCAGGTGGTTGCTGATATAGCTGCTTGAAGAGGTGTCAGGATAGACGAGGTAACCAGAGAAGCTGACGTAAGGGCCGGCATTGCTGTACAAAGCATACTGAGAGTTTTGCTGCAACATCAACCACACTGTGTCCATTTCCTTCAAAGTGATCATTAGGCTTTGACTTTGAACTTTCCTGCCCTTCTTGCGGTAGCCATCATACGCCATGGCCTGCACCTCCCGCCCATTCTTCACCAAAATGACAGAGAGCATTTTATTTGGAAATTTCCCCATTGAAAAGGAGAAGTAGTACACTCCTGGGAGGCGGCAACGAAAGCAACCCGTGTCTGGATTGAAATCCCCCCCGATGTTGACCAAGAGCTTGTTAAAAGTCACAACACTCTGCTTGCCCCCCACTATGCTGCTGGTGCGTGTAGCAGAGAAAGCTGAGCGGAGAACTGTTGTCACAGAAGGGGCATGCAGAGGGGAGACTGGGCCACAGCAGGTGATCATGATCAGTATTGCTGCAAGATTGAATTGTGGGACACCTGAAAAGAAAAAAAACAAACAAAGTTCAGGTGAAAGAATCATCCCGCTGTGGTTGAGTTGTGATGTGCCACCAGAGCATTTAGCCTGGTGTGTCAAACTGGGTATCGGCCTACATCATTGCAGCCTAATGTCAGTCATATGAAACAACACAGCTAACTGATCGAATTGGTGTGATCAGTAGGCCCTCCATAATGTAGCTGATACAGCCTGTGCTCTCTGTGAACACATGGGACTCAATTAAGTTCTGCTTCATCTGCTCCTGTGTGAGGTGAACAATGGACATTTTTAGGAGAGTTTGGTGAGGTGGGGTGGAATGGAATGACTGTTAAGTACAACAAATGAAGCTTTTTTTCTTTTGACACGAGATTTTCATTGATTTACAGAATTGTACTGCATATTTTTTTTTAATTATAAAAAAAAAAATCTGTCTTTCTTACCAAGGGCATGCATTCACAACTGGTTTAAAGTTGGGTAAGGATCAAAGAGTATGTTAAGATCAGTAAAATATGATTATAACATGGCAAAAGTTGAAAGCTTTTGACCCTATGACGCCACCAAATAGGAGTGGTTATTGTAGGCTTGGAAATTTCACATGGCATTCCCCGGGTTTCCTTTATATGCATATATCACAAATGTGATATACCAAATACTTTCTTGAAAACAGTAGAGGGTGAATAGGAATGATATAAGAGAGTTGTAAATATGAGTTGGTGAGCTGATTAAACAACAATGTCCACAACATTTTACTAGTGGTCAAATATTTGTTACATCTAAAAAAATAGAAAAGGAAAAAGAAACTAACACCATGGAAAAAGCTCTACCAAAACAATATTTTCTTGATGTTGGACTCAACAAAGTCAACAATGGAGTGAGATGGGCGTTCACATTCACCTATCGTCTAATAATGCCACAATAATCAAAAATATCCCATAGCCATCCTGTAAAATATATTCTCAACGTTCTAACTATTTTCATAAGAGACAGAATTTCAGAGGTCTGCTATGTCATGTTATTGTGATGCATGGCAAAATTATTGATAACAACATAAAACTCACCTGCTGAGCAATGCAGTGTATGAATTCCTAGCATCTTCCTATTTGGGAAAATAAAACAAAACAAAGTTCCAAAGAGGTGATCGTTGGCCAGCTGCAGATGTCCCAATACGTTCTCATAACAGGCCAGTAGTGCAAACGGACTGATCCTTTTGTCTGCATGCATTTGTCAAGAGGAGGAGCTCCACACCATCCTCCAATCTTTAGCCTTCAGAGCATAAAAAAGGTCAAATCAAAGGACTATCTTACTTCCCCCTCCAGTATTTGTCTGAAAATTCACCCTTTGTTTTGTCTAATACAAACTATCTGTGATGGAGCAGGCCCATCGGAAGACTTGCTTTTGTGCTAAGGCAGATGTTTTATTTAGATATGTATGAATATTTTTACCAATGATGCAAACTTTGTGGCATTTGTTTATCTTAGTTTTTCTGCAATTAATAAAACATTTTCCAAAACTGTTTCATTGCTGACCTGCACCAATAAGAACTTAATGGCAGTCACAAATTGGTTAGTAATAATGAAGTCTTGCAAACTGTGATGAAACAATAGAGTGATTATATCAGGCAGTGAGTGAGCAAAGTTTGGCCTACAGGCCATATAGGGCCTGCGCCGTACTTAAACCGGCCCACTGTACTTTTACAGAGTCCTGTAATAGTTATTCAGATGTATTTTATTTACCGGTACTTATTTTTCTAAATACATAAAATATAAATTCCATGTAGGAATCAATTTCTCACTCCTTGTATCAGACAAGTCTTTGATCACTGCTGATGACAGTTTTAAATGTCAAGTATCTGTAAGTGGGACGGCTGGAAGTGATTAATAGAGATGTGCAGGATTTATCCAGCAACAGCTCAGATGGGCAAAAGAAAAACATATGCAGATTTTAATGCATGATGTGAGTGGTGCTATAGACTATTTATTAGCCTCTTGCGAAGATGATGCTAAGACAGAGAAGATGACTGTATTTGGTATTTACTTTTGCTGAACTAGCAAGAATCAAAATTGAGGCATCACATCATGCAACAAATTTCTCCAGTATGCAGCCTAATAAAGTTTGTGTTTGTAACACTAGCGCTCATTCAATCAGACATCATGACTGTGGACTTTTTTTTTTCTATTCCTATACGCTATAAGGAAAGTTAACTTCTATCACACATTGACCTGGCATTTTGCGGGGGATTGTTCTCTCAGGATGGAAATCTAGCCTGTGCTGTCGCAGCGTTCAGCTGTCAGTTGTCAATCAAATATCACCATTCCAGATGGATGGAATTTTGTCCGGTGTCTTTGTTATGCCTACACATAATTGTATTTTTTTAAAAAGGCAAAAAAACATGAGTGAACACTACATTTCAAGGCAACTCACTTTGATAACATTTTAAGTTGAAAAATTCAACACAAATGTTCAAGTTTTGTTAATGTGAAAATTGGCTTTAATGCATTTTCAAAAAAGAAATACGAGTTTACAGAACTAATTGTCCCTGGGATTGTCCCACAACTTTAAGAGAAGTAAAAACAATTCAGCAAATTGTTTTGGAGAAAAACAAATCTGTGGCCAGTGTAACACAACACCGCAGTGACGGGTGGCCATTCTTTATCATAACATCCACTCAGGGTTTCTTGAAATAAAATTCACACATATCCATAACAAGGCCCATCACACTCATAATCAACCAGGAACACATCTAAGGGCCCATTTATAAGAGGATTTTAGCGGTTAAAAACTCCAGTGTATTCTAACAGAAGTCCCTTTCATTTCGATCGTGATGGAGTTTTGAAGGCTTGAATACGGAAAGTTCTGAAACCATCCTCCAGAGTGGAAACGTTGAATACAATCCGCCGTTACGTTCCCATGTACACGGCCCAAAACAAAACTCCAAACTCCGCTCAGGTCTGTTCACGTCGCGTACGCGTTTACGTCACAAACATGTGCTCGTACAGGGAAGTAAACAAAGGGGTGCCTGACTCCATCCCTCGGCCCTTCAAACTGCTTTGGCTGCTATAATAACCCAACAAGACTCCTTCCAACCATTTTACAGACTATGAGCATCGACTATTACTGAACGGAGGCACAGACCATTGACGTAGAATGTAAATCAGAGCGAAGGGAGATTTAACGCATGCGCACAGAGATAGCAGTTACCTCATTGCTCCACATAGCTGCATGGCATGCACACACAATTGAATTCCACACTCGCTCGCGTCACAATATGCATGCATATGTTTTTCTGACAAACGCTCGTATAAACGCGAAATAATAACTAGAGATGAGACGCCACTTTTGCGTCCTCTGAAAAGATCGTCATTATACAAACGAAGTAAAAAAGCCACATATTGTTGTGCTTGATTCCCTATGTAATGCATTTTTCTTTTAAGTGGCTTTGCTTTTGTTTACGATCTCATAGTCTACTTCTATCTCATACATTCGCTAGCTAACAGCCACTCAGAGTGACCAATTGTCACTGATGGCTGGCGCCATTTGCAAATTACGATCAATGGTTCATTGTTCAAATGATATCTAAAATTCCAATGACACAAAATCTATGAAATCTTAAAAAAATCTGCATGTTGCTTTTTATTTAGGTTTGTTCTGCTTGCATTATGACTGTGTATGCAAGATTGGTAGTTTTGCGCATTTGAGTTCATGAAACCATCCATTGATCCATCTAATCCATTTATCCTCATAAGGGTCGCGGGCATGCTGGAGCCAATCTCAGGTGTCTCCGGGCAGCAGGTGCGGTGCACCCTGAATTGGTTGCCAGACAATTGTAGGGCACACATAGACGAACAACCATTTGTGCCCACAATCACACCTACGATCAATTTAGAGTGTTCAATTGACCTGCCACGCATGTTTTTGGAATGTGGGAAGAAACCAGAGTACCTGGAGAAAATCCACGCAGGCACGGGGAGAACATGCAAACTCCACACAGGAAGACCGGAGGCAGAATCGAACCTTGATTTTCTGCATTGTGAGGCCGGCGTGCTCACCAGTCGACCACTGTGTCACCCTCATGAAACCATATGACAATATGATTAACTATTAATCTCGGCCATATTTGATTTCTATGGTGTGAAAGCATTTATTTTGATTGAAGTTGGCTGTAAGAATTGAATGCTCTTTACTTAAAACATTGTTTTAGAGTTTGCATTCAAATCAATTGTACATTTATTCTTTAAATATGCAGTTAACAAAACAAACACACAAACTTGAGGCAGAGAATGACGGGGTCCAAGAATTCTGCATTCATGCGAAAATGGCAGAAAAATCACAGATTCCCATTCAGGCCCGGTGGTCCAGTGGTTACCGCATCGACCTCACAGTTGCAGGTTCGATTCCGGCTCCAACCTTCCTGTGTGGAATTTGCATATTCTCCCCATGCCTGGTGGGTTTTCTCCGGGTTCTCCGGTTTCCTCCCACATTCCAAAAACATGCATGGTAGGCTGATTCGGCACTCCATATTGTCCCTAGGCGTGAGGGTGAGCGTGGATGGTTGTTCGTCTCTGTGCGCCCTGCAATTGGCTGGCAACCGGTTCAGGGTGTCCCCGGCCTACTGCCCGAAGACAGCTGGGATAGGCTCCAGCATGCCCCACGACCCTTGTGAGGATAAGCAGATCAGAAAATGGATGGATGGATGGATGGATGGGTGGACTTTGAGGCCAATCAAAGTTATTTTCTGATCAGGTAATCAAGTACAATATCGCTTTCAGGTATTCGACAAGACTGGTTGTTGATGTGCACAATAGATGGTGTGCTGCAACTGCTTCCATCTGTGGTCATGACGCAAAGAACCCGGAAGTCGTAAGTGTGTGTGCGTGCGTGCGTGCGCTGTCAACGAGAGGAGGCACTGACGGAGCTAAAGCTCGCATTTAAGACAAGATGTCAGGACTGCCCCGCAGAATTATAAAGGTAACCACTTCGTGTTCAAAAATGAGCGTGTGGGACTTTTTATTTGCTGTGATTTTTACCCAACATATTGGACTCACTCGCCCAAAATATCGAATATGGGCTTTTTGTGCTAACGGTAGCATCCACCACGACAACGTTAGTTGTCCGAAGTGACTTCCGTTTTCTTCGTGTGTGGGTATTAGTCAAAAGTTTTGGTAAAGACATAAGCAGCGGTGCTAGTTGTGTTTGTCGACGCGATTTGTGACAAACATAGCAAAGTGTGGGTACTCGTTTTATATCCGTGAGTAGAACGCTGTAGGAACTGACGATGGTCTGCCTGGCTAAGCACGCTAGCAAAGCTAACCATGCTAACCATGTCTACTGTCGATGTGTATTTAAAAATGGGAAACACACCACCCCAGTATTTTTCCCCATCTCAAATAGAGTGCTTTGCACTCATACAAAAGACACATTTAGACGTTGGCTGGTTTTCGTGTAATTAATTTGATCGTACGGCCTTTTGGTCCAACTTTACGTGTTAAAATGAATACAATCTTTGCAATAAGGTGATGGGTGAACTGTGTCTTCAGTTTGTGATAACGTATTATTTTAGAATACAAATTGTTAAATGAAGTGTTGACGCTCTGTTCGTTTTGTATTCAGCAAGGCCTATTACAACCGAGCATTAGATTGGGAGGGTACCGTGGATTTAAATGGTTCGACAGGGAATTTAACGTTGTAAAAGTTGATAACTCAGAACCTAAACTTTTCATCCGTGGTTGATATTATGAATTACGAACTATGCTGTGCGTTTTTTCTATTATTTATAATTGATGAAAACTCTAATCAATCGTCATCAGGCATCAGTAGCAAGGAGCGAAACACGTTTTGTGTTTAACCTTTAAACTGTGTGGTGGATCCCTCCTTATTTAAATACCGTACTCCCCTCTTCCTGGCACCACCGGCACCTGTTGAGGCTATCTCTGTGCTGTGCCGGGCAAACTCAGCTTAACTTTGAGAAGGAAAAAAATAATTTTATTCGTCCTTACTTCTGATTTGGGGTGTTGTACATTTGAATGGATATGTCCTCCAGGCAGGCTTCGCACATAAGAATCAAACCCAGAGGATCAGCCTTGAGCCACATAATTTCACTGTGTCCTTGAAATAATCCAAATGTAATTGAATCACCTCATATAACAAGCAGTGAATGTCAGAGTCATTTGGTTCGTAACCCCAAGAGAGCCATGTAAGTTAGCCAAAACCGCTCCTGCTAAAATACCCTCTCCATTTATTACGAATGTGATAGTCTTACTTAGTTACATGGCTACTGTAAATGGCAGCACCTTTGAAGCACATGCCTGCCTAATTGCTCACATTTTACTGCATTGAGTCAGTCTTTTTGCAATTTCACAGTGAAATTCAATACTGTGCTGCCCTTTATTGACATATGAAGTGGTGATTTTAAGTGCACATTACACCACACACCAAGGTGCTCACGAACCATGATTAGAAGCCAATCCCCAAGACTGAAATATTGTCTGAAATACACTTAGAGCAAGGGTGCCCAAACTTTTTGGACCAAAGATCTACTTTTTGATCAACCAACCTCCTGTGATCGACCCGTTACCGTGCAAATGCTCATACGCACACACTTAAACATGCATGCCATGATGAGCAACAGCCACAACGCCCCCTAAGATGAACGAAACAGAAAAATAAAGTAGACACAAGAGTCTATTAAAAGGAAATCACTGCCTACCTTACCGGGAGACCTGACGCGGAGGCATGCGACGGACTTTTGCAGCCTGTTAACAATCGTAGCTCACGCGTACCATTTTAAAATGCTTCTCTTGGCCCTCCAAATTACCATTATTTGCGAGTGCTATCGGTGAATTGTACATGAAATGAACATTGACTGATGATGATAAGGCGTAGAAAAAAAAGTAGTGTGTTTCCGGTAACCCGACCCACCGAGAATTTCTACGTCGAAAAAAAAACTTTACGGTCGGCATTTTTTCCAAACAACCCTCTACATTTTTGTGTAGAGGGTTTACATCGGTGCAAACTCTCGTGATATTCACGTTGAGCGCGAGCGTCGTTTACCCTATCGTCTGTCAACAACATTGAAACATGGCAGCAGCCGCGATCTCCGACGACAGTTTAAACCGCGTTTTCTGTGTTACAGTCGCGTGCTCGCACCGTAATATTAAGAAAATAGCATCCATTGATGTATCGAAAACATTCAGCGAACTATTTGATGAACACCATGGGCCGAGTAAAAACCGAGCGCGGAGGAGGACGGCGGCGGAGGCGGCGGCGCACCCCGGCCCCATTAATAATAATAAAAATAAAAGCTATATCGCAACAGCTCTGATCGCAAGCTGCAATTGCAATTGACTGCTGAGTGCTAAGAACTTCCGGTGATGCAGGTCCGTAAACTTTAACCATAGGTTAAAGTTTATTTATTTATTTTTTTAAATACTTTTTGTGAAAGTGTGACTGATATGATGATTAGGGTGCAGTGTGCATTTACACAAAAATATATTACTAACATGGACAGAGACACACATATGTTTAATTTTTTTCCTCGACACCCCTTGTGATCGACTTAGGACCTGTCCGCGAGCTACCGGTCGATCGCGATCAACGTTAATGGGCATCCCTGACTTAAGAGTGTTCAGCGACAGTGTTTAACATGCTATGGTTCACAAACAAAACAAAACCAGGCTCGCACGGTGGTCGGTTTACAATGGGGTTCCTTATATTCTATCAAAGATGTCACTCGCCGGAGATTGCCGACCAATTGGATTTTCGTTGTTAAGCGTGTTGCGATGGTTCTAACTATGAACCTTGGTGGGTTGCAAAAGTATGCTTAAAATAGTTTTCCCCCTAAGAATGACTCAAAAGATAGTTGGCCAAGTTTACTTCACGCTTGACCTTTAAAAGAATCTCCCAGCACATCACCAATCAAAAATATTACAAAAAGTAACAGAAATAATGATGATCCTGAAATGTACTCACTAATGGGCATAAGTCAGAAAAGGTGTACTGCTGCACACTTTTTTGACTGTGCAGATTCTCCCAGTGACTTAGTGTGCCACCTTGATGAAATGTACGCATTCTGGGTGGAGCGACCTTCAAATAGGTGCGTTCTGTAACAAATGTGACAATGCACGCATTCTGTCATAGACTTAAGTGTCTTTTGGCTTCTGCGTTTTGGAGCCTGTGCTAAGTTCTTGGGCCTTTCGAAGGCCAAACATCATATTGCACGCTAACGGCAGGTGAAGACTCGACCAACTCGGCTAAGTCGTGCGGATGTGTTGAGTACAAAATGATTTTTCTGTTGTATGAAAGGCAATCGGTGGACAGCAACAGGTCTGCCGTCTAGTGAAAGAGTATTTAACTGTTTGACCTTTCACTAGCTGGGTTTACATTGAGTTATGTATTTTGATTATAATGAATACACAGGACTATCCAAATCACTCTGAAATATTTTTAGACTACATCGTTCTGTTGATTATTCCACAGATTAAACAGATACAATTTTAGTGTTTGTGTATTACAAAACATTTTTTTCCGTGATTACTGTTTATTAACCAATTAATGTTCTTTATTTGGTATTGTTTAGTGACAAAAACCAACAACAGCTGCTATACAACAATTAAGCAATATCACGAGAGGGATTGAAGTTGCCAACCTTTGTGAAACTGATTCAGTAAACTCCCAAGTGGATGTCAGCACACTCCGGGATGGCAGAAATTACATATGCTACAGGCTTGCTACACAAAACAAACATGGGGCATTCAGGTTACTTTCATGTCGAGAACTTGCAAATGTATAATTGTTTTTCTCGATTATCACATTTTAAAGAGAGAGAAGCCAAAATTGAAGTCGCAATTACATTTTGGTTAATCATCCAACCCTACCGTACAACTCATCAAATACAGTATTTGACTGTGACTGTCTGGACGCTGGAACAAATTATATCATTTTGTTTTGATGTCGACCTGGAGGGTGTTTGACTTTTGGGGTGCCAATATAATTCACCTCCCAGAAAAGAAGACAATATTTTTTCACACTCAAATTGTTCCGCAATGTGTGCAGTGGGAGGTAGCCATTTAGAGAAGAATGGGAACGGAACGATGTAAACTATACAGGTGAGTGACGAAACCAGCCACAGACTGATATTGGTGGGAAGAGGTAGGAAGATTGGAGGCCTTGAGCCTTTGGAGCGTGTGACTGCGACTGGGAGCCCCTCTTGTCTGTGTTTTCACTGGATGGTTTTGTCTGTGGGTTATCGAAAACATTTCAGGAATTTCCCTCTGAGCTGCATTCAGGAGAAGCCTGTCAAAAGCAAGTATGGTAGCTTTTTAGGATTCCTCTTCATTGCCTCCTAGTTAGCAGGTTCAGTCATTGTCAGCTCTGATGGACATAACATGAAGCTGCCAGACTGGATCAGATTAGGACTGAAAAAGCAGGCCAGGGTCCGAAGAGGTCTTTGTGTATTAATAGTTCAGTGTGTTAGTGGATTAGGTTAAGAGTTGGCTGCAAAACTAAACACAACAAAGAGAATTACACAATTTGGATATTTAAGGACAAGACATGCCTTGTTAGCCAGTACTAATGCTAAAGTCAATGTAAAATCCCTTTGACATGCGAACAGGAAATTAACGTCGACTTCCGTGAGTTCACCATCAATCGAAATTATAGTAAATATTTTTTTTTCCATTTAGATTGCCACCCTTACTCAACTAGTCACAATGAAGTCGACAATCAAAATCGCTTATAATTTAATCGGTGACAAATTGTTGTTGATACATTTATTTATTTGCCGCTTTGTTTTTCTGTCGAATCTGCCTTGTCTCCCACTTCTCCCTCTGGCTGTATGCCTGCCTATGACACGCATGCACAGTCCCGTATTGGTAATCCGGGTCATCCGTGATGTAAACAGAAGCATTTTGGGTAATGCATTGTCATGGCTTACCCGTGTCAGTAATAGAGTTCCAAAGTTCGAGCGCATT